ACTGGTGGAAGACGTTTGGCTGAAATATTTTGAGAAAATATGGGAATTTTGTTCAAAATTGAGTATCGAAAAATTACAAAAATCGGAAACGAGTATCATTTTGGGTGTCATAAATGCAGATACATCTTATTCTCAAATTCTAGATACGGTGCTTCTAATCACGAAATAGGTTATTTGGAAAACTAGAAACATCGCAAAATATCAAAAGAAAGGGATAAGTAAATATATGATTTTCAATTTGATAAAACATGAAATGCAATTTTGGCTCAAATATCTTAAACCAAATACGAACAATGCAGCCTTTTCTACTATGTGTGACATTTTTTGTATATAAATATATATTTTTGCGTCGTCAGGTCAGTGTAATGACCTCTTTAATACTGAATAAATTTTCATATACATTGCTCTCAACTCCCTATATGTATTTTCTATTGTGTATGTAAATTATGTATATTATATAATTGTAACAAGACATGTTGTATCAACCGGTACATATTATAAACAAATATTTACTCACCATATCTTTGAAATTAATCCTTTTTGGGAAACAAAATTTAAATCCAACTTTTATGAATGAACTACACATTTCCACGTGGCAAAAGATCACTCGACCAGAAAATTTAATGTTATAAAAATTGACATAACAAAAGAACGGGTTGATGTGCTAAATAAAATTGAAACTGCTTAATAAATACAGGTAGCTCTTGTGAGAAAAAAATACAGATAGAATGAATACTTTATTCAAATGATTATATATGGTGTGATGTATAAATATATAGATAGATAATAATTACATGTACATGTACATTTGTACAAGGATAGATGATATTTTAAAGATAGATGTTAATCATTTATAATGGGATTTTTTTTTTCTCATTTGCTTTTCCCCCGACAAATGAAACTGTAATAATCGGGGCCCCTTAGTTGCTTCCCTGAGCAACTTAGGGTTGATGTAACAGGTGATTATTAATAAAATACTTATGTTTAAAAAAAAAAAAGGTCATGCCATGGCGACTCAACTTGATGCGATGTATTACTATCTTAATATATAGATATAAGGAGATGTGGTATGAGAGACAACTCTCCATCTAATTCACAATTTGTAAAAGTAAATCATTATAGGTCAAAGTACGGTCTTCAACACGGAGCCTTGGCTCACACCGAAGCTATAAAAGGCCCAAACATGACTAGTGTAAAACCATTCGAACGGGAAAACCAACGGTGTAATCATATAAAAAACGAGAAACGAGAAATACTTGTACATGAAAATCAAGCACAATCACTCCAGTGAGGGGTTCAGTATCATACCATCATAACATATATGAGAAGAAAATAATCCGTATCATGCACACAACTGGTTTTAGAATAAACGTGTTTATTTCCGGTGCACAGAACCTATAAGTGAATCAATATTAATACCAAAATATGCCGTCTTTAATGAGGGGTTTTGCTTATGTGATTACTTGGCTGTCTTAGTGATTATTTTATTACTAGACAAAATATTTCATGTTTTTTTTTTATTATCTACGGTCTTCAACACGGATCATTGGCTTACACCGAACAGCTAGCTACAAAGGGCCCCAAAAATGACAAGTGTAAAACCATTTAAACAGGAAAACTTACGATCTAATCTATATAAAAAACGAGAAACACTTATGTACCACATCAACCACTGAACATCAGGTTCCTGACTTAGAACAGGTGCAAAAAATGCATCGGGTTTAACTGCTTTAATCGGCGCAAACCTTCACCCAACCTGAAACAATAGTGTCACATCACAACATAGAAAGTCACACTATAAGATATAATAAATTGAAATGGCTTATTTCAATCAAAATTTATATTAACAAAAACAAGTGAACATACAATGAAAGAATCAATTTGATCTATGGCACAATGTTAATACCAAATTAATAAAACAAGGAGGTTAGATGTAAAACGATATCAGAAGGACAACCATAACCTTAGACAAATTACCGCCAAGTACAAACACATATATTAGAAAATTAATACTTATGTTGTTCATAGTACGAAAACAGAAGTGAAAAATTATTGTCATACCAAACACCTTTCAAAGGGGGAAAATATTAAAAATAGTGAGTCGAAATATAAATAAGTAAACAGTAAATAACAAAAATGCATTACAAATTGTATCAACAGGTCAAATTAACACGAAAGTACGATTAAAAAGTACTCGTAGTTACTGAAAGCTAGTTAAAAGCCAAAATCAATTAATAATTAAAAATTTTAAAAAATCATGCATCAGAGACTAAAATCAACTAAAACGTATCTCATGGATTTAGTGTTTTAAAACATGAAGAATCAAAGAAGACATGACTTATGCAATGCCGGCAGTAGGATAGTCAGGAGTTAACCTTTTTATAAATAAGTTTAAGGTAATGCTTTCTGACTATTTTGATCGTAGCGTCACTGATAAGTCTTATGAAGACGAAACGCGCGTCTTGCGTATCAAATTATAAGCCTGGTACCTTTGATAACTATTTACAACACTGGGTCGATGCCACTGCTGGTGGACATTTTGTTCCCGAGGGTTTGACCCGCCCAGTCGTCATAATTTCGGTGTTGACATGGATATCAATTATATGGTCATAAATTACCGTAGCCGAATTTGGAATAACTTTTTTGAATAAGGGTCTTCAGTGCTATTCAACTTTTACTTGTTTGGTTTTCTTACTATTTTGATCTGAGCGTCACTGAGTCTTATGTAGACTAAACGCGCGTCTGGTGTATCACATGATAAGCCTGTTGCCTTTGATAACTATTCACATCACTGGATGGACGTTTCGTTCGCGAAGGTACACAATGTATCACCCGCCCACTAGTTAGCACTTCGGTGTTGACATGCATATCAATTATGTGGTATTTTTTATAAATTAGCTGTTTGCAAAAGAATGTATATTTGATATACAAAGGATTTTCTTATCCCAGGCACATATATTACCTTAGCCGTATTTGGCACAATTTTGTTTTTGCAATTTTATGTCCTCAGTGCTCTCCAACTTTATACCTGTTTGGCTTTCTAACTTTTTGTATCTGAGCGTCGCTGATGAGTCTTATGTAGACGAAACGCGCGTCTGGCGTATCAAATTATAAGCCTGGTACCTTTGATATATATTTACACCACTAGGTCGATGCCACTGCTGGTAGACGTTCAGCATCTATAGGCTAACTATATATAGATAAAGTTATTTTTTTATCGGAAATGAACAAATATCCCCAAAAAAAACGTCTGAAAAGAATACAAATTTAGTTATATATTAATTTGCGGATGATAAAATTGATATTTGTGCCTATGTAAACTATATTTAAAGATCAAATTACAACATTGGTAAGATAACCTTTACTAATAAGTTTTTTTAAAGGTTCGATGATTTTACACGGATTACAAAGTGATTTTCGCGCTTTTAGTACAATATTACCGTAATATTTAGTATGTGAAATACCGTTTTTAATAAGTTTTAATAGATACAGCCAATATAACTAATCAAATCTGTGTATCTATGAAAGATGCATGAATGTGTAAGTTTACATGATTCTTTACCTTATATACTGCTAATACATACATTTACTTAGCAGAAGAATTATATAAAAAAAATCAGTATTACAATTAGCTATTAAAGTTTTCAATTTATGAAGGAAACATTTGGGAATTTGCTTGAAATTGATGATTAGGGCAATAAATAATATAAGGAGTCATTCTACTCTTTAAGGCCTTCAAGATATTTAATAATTAGTCCTGAAAAGTTGAGCAATATACACTTTATTTTCTCTATGATCAACTGATCATGGAACACGTATAGGAAAATATTTGAAGATAATAACTGTTTTTCTGCAGCTATCATTGGTTTTAAATAATTAGGCAAACGCTTCAATTTTTATAAAATTTATCAAAAGGAGCTCTGACTACAAAATATTTAGCCAAAATATAAATCTTCAGAAGGGAAGTTTTTGGAAAAAAATTACAATAAATTCTAAGTGATGACAAGTGAAGACTCACTTTGACATTAGGTAACATTCGGCAGATGCCAAAAATTTAACTTTCATTGCATGAATGTTTGAAATGGTGAAAATAGCGTCAATAAGTTTTGAGGATTTGGTCTCTCTAGGTCCTTTTCAACAACTTTCCGTATTCCCCTTTCTTCTTCGCTAGAATATGCTAGATTGAGAGCTGAATAGCTCAGGTTGATGGCTGTCAGTTTTTTACACATTGTCTTTGATAATATGTTTTCCTTCACAAGACTTTAAAGTGATGGCAAATTAGTTGCTGCAACTTTTAAACTTGCATGGGGAAAAAGCATTATTAGCTAACTACAAAATTGCTTGTATCTTGATTTCTTCTTTGATTTCATATGGAATAAACAGTTTATGAAAACTGCTAACATCATCCATAGCATTACTGCATCTTGCTGAAAGAACAATGTCATATAAGTTTGTCGACCATTACCTCTAGATCCAGTGACTTAAATTAAATAGAAGTTTTCAATGTTAAATGTACGCTTAGATAAGATTGACTGGAACAACTTGAGATGAACTAATGACATTTGCTATATTTCATATTAAATTGACAGCATTTTTATTGCATTAGACATGTTAGACATCATATCGGGTCATATGGTATAGCTGATTTTAAACTCGCCATGGTATCAGCTATCTTTTTAATGATAATTTGTTTGTCTAGATCTTAAAAGATATTGAATTTTTTTCTTAATATTTTAGTTAGATTTCTCATGGTTTTAACTGAATCTCGTCATGAGAAGAATGATGACTTCGAATTGAAGAATCCAGGGTATCTGGTTCAATATTTTGACTTTACCCCTTCTGAAGGTAAAAAATAAGTGAAATTGTCATTTAAAATGTGTGTGACGCGTATGGATATTCTAAATCTGTTCGTTTCAAGATGGTTATCAGTATTTGCAATTTAATGTTTCTAAAGGAATTGCATGTAGACTTAAAGTATATAATTTTCAATTATTTGATAGGATCAGCACGCGAACTTTTAAAAAGATTTGTTTTGGCTGGAATCGACGTAAATCAACAAACCGTGTCTGGAACATATCCCATATTTTTGGCTGTTTCTAGTGGTGCAGAATATGTGATTAAAGTTATGTTAGATAAAGGAGCAGATGTTAATGTCGTGAATGAGTATGGAAACACACCATTGGTTGAAGCCATCTTTCATTATTTAGATGATATTGTACAACAACTTCTACATTCCGGAGCTAATGTGAACCAAATCTGCAAAGAAAAAACTCAACTTCGCACAGACAACATTAACAGAACAGGTAAGAATTTGAACTATGCCGAGTGCAAATAAAATAGAACCCATTTATAAGCATGCCTCTGTTGATTTTGCATTTCGCAATATGCAACTGAACTTATCAATCAAACTGTTTTGATTAAGATACCCATTCATCATCTAAGAGAATTTTGACCAACAAATAATATCCGAAAATTGATATAACGAGCGATACTGTAGTTTATTTGACTTATTCCTCAAACAGCATCTGCCATCACACCAGCGGAAAATTGTTAAAAACAAACTTTTTAAAAATCGAAAACAGATTGAATAAAGCAGCGGCCTCAAAGTCATAAAAAGATTGAAAATACCCCAAATAAGTGGAATCACAAGCTCCACACATTAAACATTAACTAAATACCTGGACTGCAGAATAGCACGTCTTCTTAATGGGCAGAACACATTTGTTTGCCCTTGTCCTAAGTCATGAACATGGGGTTCTGTGGTCGTCGTTCATTGATGTGGTTTAAGTGTTTCTCGTTTTTTTATATATATAATAGACCGTTGGTTTTCCTGTTTGAACGGTTTCACACTAATCATTTTTGGGGCCTTTTATAGCTTGCTGTTCGGTGTGAGCCAAGGCTTCGTGTTGAAGACCATACTTTGACTTATAATGGTTTACTTTTACAAACTGTGACTTAGATGGAGAGTTGTCACATTAGCATTCATACCACATCTTCTTATACCTATGGAACACATGAATAACATCACAAGTAAAGGCTCGATTTTTCTAAATTGCCCTACTTTACCTAAGCTCTAAATGTTAAAACAAAAAAGATGTAGTATGATTCCAATAAGTCATCTTTCTACCAGAGACCAGTTAAGATAGGAGTCAACGACAATTAATTACCATACGGCTTTCAACAATGAACAAAACAAATACCGTATAGTCAGCCATAAAAAGACCCCGAAATGACAAATGTGAAACAATTCGAACGGAGAAACCTAATGGCATGATTTATTGACAAAACAATTAACGGAAAATAGTTATGATATACAGCAACGAACGACAACCACTGAAATAAGGCCTACATGGGTCAGGCACGTACAGAATGTGGCGACGTTGAACTAGTTTTCCGGCGCTAAACTATTTCCTAACCTGTGTCAGTAGTGGAACCGTACAACATAGGATTTAACTATAAAAATCAATTGAAAAGTTCCTAACTAATCAAATCGGTTCATAACAGAAAACAAGGACAGGATGTGGCAGAGAATTATACATCCAACAAAAAAAAGACACTAAATACATATCTGGAAGTACTCGCAGTTACTGACACCTAGGAGGTATTGCCCTCATATTGCCCTTTTTTTTGCGTTTTTTTCGACAGTACAAAATCTTCATATAAATTAAATAGACCAAAGTTGGATCATTGTCCCTGAGAAGACTTTTTTTTAAATATTCTCCGAATTAATCGGGATCAATCCTGATCACAATCTTAATAAAAGTCTTAATATAAACTCATCATAGATACTAGGATTTAAATTTTATATTTGTGCCAGACGAGCGTTTCGTCCACATAAGACTCAGTGACGCTTGAATCAAAATGTGTTAAAAAGTATATGAAAGATAGATCTGACCTTTGTTAGTCTATGATTTTTTATTTTAGTTCATTTATATATTTTGGAGTTCAGTATGACGTCCATTATCACTGAACTAGTACACTTTTATTTTTAGGGACCATCTGCAGCACGCCTCTGGGTGTTGCCAATGATTTTTTTTTCAAGTTTCCTATTTTTACTAGGGGAACTATGTTCCTGTGAGGCATTCTTTATCTTCATTGTATTTTCTGTCATTCTGCGACTAGTAAGGTTGCACTTTTTGCTTTTCAATACTTTTTAAACATATGAATAATATATCACCTTCCTTAATGGAAACATTTAATATTATTAGCTTATTAATAATGTATGATGATTTATATTCGACATTGTTTTTTTACATAATTCAATGCAATCTTTCCGAATTCTTTGTTTTCATTTATGTTAATTTAGTTTTTCTTTTTATAGGTTATACTGCATCCCATCATCGTGTTTTGAAGTCTATGGAAGATATGGAAGACACTTCCAATCATAAGTTTAAGAGCTGTATACTGACGAAAATAATAAAAAGTCGGCAAATGATATTAAAGAAGAAACGAGATTTTGTTGGCTTACTTTTGGAGTTTGGAGCTGATCCTAATTTCGAAAAATCCGGACACGATTCATGTCTTATGCACGCTGTCCAACAGGGTGATCCTGTATTGGTAAAGACTCTACTTAATGCAAAAGCAGACATTAATCATATTGGAAACAAGGGATATACAGCTTTGCATATCTATTTCTTGAATAGTATGCATAGATCAGGTAAACCTTAAAATATAATCATAGATCTTAATGAATAACTTTTTGCTAGGACTGCAAACTATAGGTTTTAGTAGAAGGGATAACCGAAATTGAACTGTTGACATCTACTTACCTTTTAGTTTAAACAGTATTTATTAATGAAAAATTACATGAATAAAATATTACAATACAATGTTAGATAAAGTTCAAATATGGGATTCGGAAACAAGTTTGGAAAAACTTATATAAATCCGTCTACTTACCTTTTCTTCGTTGGATAATATTTTCGAATTCTATGGTTGGTTTATCATAAACTTTGTCCGAAATAATCGTACATACACACAAGTAGTGTTAGTAGAAACGAAAATTTAAAACACTCCTTAATTTTTCTGCTGCTTTGGAAGGTGGCAAAGTAAACTTCCAAAGTCAGGAAGGTGTTGTTCAGTAGTTGTCGTGTATGTAGTTCATACATGTGAATGTTTCTTGTTTCTCATTTTTTATATAGATTAGAATGTGTTTCATAATTGTTTGAATTGTTTAACATTAGTCATTTTGCGGTCCTTTATAGCCTGATCTTCGGTGTGAGCCAGAGCTCATTGTTGAAGGCCGTAATTTGACCTATAATGGTTTACTTTTACCAATTGTTACTTCGATGGAGGGTTGTCTCATTGGCACTCATACCAAATCTTCTTATATCTTTAGAAGTTAAGTAAACTCTTTATTCTGGTAAACTTATCGATCCTTTAAGTAAACTTATTCTAAAAGGTTACTAATTGAACACTGTAATTAGCACATCTTATTTTGGAATTTTGGGTCCTCAATGCTCGTCAACTTTATAAGTGTTTGGATTTCTAACTTTTTTTATCTGAGTGTCACTGATGAGTCTTATGTAGACGAAACGCGCGTCTGGCGTATCAGAATATAGGCCTGGTACCTTTGGTAACTATCTGACGTTTTTTTTTTCAAATTTAGATATATTGTTTTCTGTGACTAGATGAAGGTCAAGTACAATTTACACGACTTGAGCTTTCCCCTGCTTGAATCTTTCATATATTTTGATTGAGTTATTGCCCTTTGAACAGAAATTAATTAGATTTTGTATAGATAGTCTTTCAATGATTATATCTGTTGAATTAATTAGTCAGGAGTGGTCAAAAATTTCTTTATAACTATTGTTTTTGAAGTCATGTGTGTTTTGAAGGTAGATAACACAGTTGGTATGTGGTATTTTATTTTTTGTTGTGTGCATTAATTTTTACTTGATCCTGTTTGTGATGTGGATTCAGATTTCCAAATATCATTTTCATTAGATTATAATCTATTTTTATTCAGGGATATATTTCATTACATTACATTGTATAGATACAGTTGGTGACATTGATAGATACGTTGCAGATCTATTTTAGTTTGTGACCAAGGAAAGAAAAAAATATTGGGAACTATTAACTATATTTGATTATAATATGAAAACATCATATTTAAGTTTAGTGAACTATTTTGTTAGTGATTAAATCAAATGTATTAAATTTACATTACTGGTTCATTTCAATAAGTTTGAGTTATTTCCCTTTGACCAGAATTATTATTAATATTGATTTAATAATTAGTAAATTAAAAGCAAACCAAATATTATTGTTATATACATATGCACTTTTGTGGATCTACAATCTGTCGATTCCTGTATCTTGGTATAGCACAAGGCCATGTTTTTCTCTGACTGTTTGTGACTCTTTATATTAAATCGATTGTATGTTGGATGTGTACTGATTGATAATTTAGTCTTAACTGCATGAATTTTTTAATATTTGTTATTGACTTTGAACTAGCTGTCAGTAACTTCGAGTACTCTCAGATCTGTATTAAGTCTCTTTTTGCTGTTGAGATGTACAAGAACCCGGTCACGTCTACACTTTGATTTTGTTATATATATTTCTATTTGTATCCATCTGATGAGTTAAGTCTTTATCAACTGATTTTTATAGTTCGTTCTTATGTTGTACTGTTACACCACTATTCCAGGTTAGGGGGGGTGTTGTTCAGCCAACATGTTTAACCACGCCACATTCTGTATGTGTGTGCCTGTCCTAAAACATGAGCCTATTATTCAGTGGTTGTCGTTTGTTATGTGTTACAAATTTGTTTTTTTGTTCCTTTTTTTTTTGTACATTAATTAGGCCGTTAGTTTTCTCGTTTGAATTGTTATAGGGCCTTTTATAGCTGACTATGCGGTATGGTATGGGCTTTGCTCGTTGTTGGAGGCCGTACAATTACCTACATACAATTATGGCCCGCTGATGAGTTGATTATTCAAAATTGTCAACCCGAGTAAGGGTTATTCCACGAGGGCTTTAGCCCGAGGGGAATAACTTTTACTCGGGTTGACAATTTTGGATAATCACCTACTCAATGGGCCATAATTGTTTTATTATACCGAACGAACAGTTTCAATTAAAAGTAAAATATTGTAACAGCTAGATTGTCGAAGCGCTAACGTTAGAAACTTTTTTGTGTCTATTGACATTTCGTGTATGTACAACAAAAGAGGGACGAAAGATACCAGAGGGACAGTCAAACTCATAGATCGAAAACAAACTGACAACGCCATGGCCAAAAATAAAAAGACAAAAAGACAAAAAAAGTACAGATGACACAACATAGAAAACTTAAGACTAAGCAACACGAACCCCACCAAAAACTGGGGGTGATCTCAGGTGCTCCGGAAGGGTAAGCAGAGCCTGCTCCACATGTGGCACCCGTCGTATTGCTTATGTTATGACAAATCCGGTAAATAGTCTAATTCGGTAGGTCACATTCGTAAAAAGGGAAGGGTATTGTAGTTACGACATAAGGAACATATCCGATATCATCTGTGAAACGGTTATTCCATAACGGTCAACCAACTCGTGATGGCGTCCGTAAAATTTACGAAGGGATGATTTCAACTTCACCTTAAATTTGTCTCTTCGATTTATACCAAATAATTTTCATTTTATTGCAAGGAAGGACGAATAACCCTAGAAATTTAAACCAGCGGTGAATAATCCTATTATTCACCGGCGAATAACCCTTTTGAGTTGCTTGATTTGTACACGAGTTTTCTTCCATAAAAAAGACGTCACAGACGTAAAAAGGTAGATTCTTTCTGTAATATATAGATGGCCCTGAAAAGGACCGTTTACAAGAGATATCGTCGACACTAGATGAATTCCCAAACTTGTTTGGTCTTGTTTCTTCGTCACTTGATGGGCTTCCTGCATGTTTCACCCGCCATACGAATCGATTAAATGGGTGAAATTACAGAGACAGATGAGTTTTCTGGTATCTGGGATATAAGATCTCGAAAACACGTAGCTTGTGAGTTCAGACACTGATACATTTTATTAAACAACCAATTATAAGTAATGGTGACAAACTACAATTGTTTTAAATTCATGTACCTACAGTTCGAAAACTCTAATGACTCTAACTAGATATGAGGGAGGTCAATAAATCGTTTACCTTTTTTTTATCATTATCTGTTCTCAAAATGATTTTTATGATGTATGAAATTTGCAAAACAATAACTCGAATACAGATTACAATTGAATGTGTTATAATACCCATTACATACGATTTGCAAACATTAATTAATAGTTCCTATTGTTTGGATACATGTCTAAAGTTGAAAACTGTGTAAATATCATAACTTCTAGATATTCTTTGGTCGTTGTTCGGTGTTTGTGATAATTCCTTTACACTTTAGGAAATTTTTTGGTCGTTGGGATATCTGTTTTTGACGAACAGACCAAATGCATAGAATAAAAACCCAATTTATTTTATGTTCTTTTTAAAAACAATCAAAGATCAACGTTCTTTCTCATTTGAAATCTGGCAATGCATGAAAAACTAAAATACGTTTGCTTTTAAACCACTTTCAAAAGAAGGAGATTTTGCTGGTAGAATTAACCTTTTATATCATTTTTACTATGGAACTTATTCAGCAAACTAGATAGGGTAATTATAAACAACTTATGATAACAATATAATTTTATTAACACAAAAACTAACATTTTCTAATATCAGTTTATATATTTACAAGAAAAAGCATTATGCAGAAAACTACTTGAACGATCAGTAATTCTTGAATTTGAAGAAGATGATTCGTCCATTCTTCAAACTTTGCTTGAGTATGGTGCACCAACTAACGTATCGTGCACTGATGGAGACTTGCCAATTCACATAGCTGTTTCAAATTGCACGACATATAATGCATTTGAAAGTAATGTAGATGATATAATTTCGATGATTGATTTAACGAAAGATTTAAATGTACCAGACAAGAAGAAAAGTACACCATTTCTAGATATCATCAAGTTTTGCAACCTAGACGTTCTAAAGAAGATGGTGGAACTAGGAGCTGATGTTAAGTCAAAAGGAACTAATGGAAACACTGCTCTTCATGTTGTCGTGGGTAAATTGCGTTATTATATGAATATATATGTTACCACTTCATCAAGTATGATACGATATTTATCCATTCGAGACAGTTAAATTTTCATTTTTTATTTGTCCAGAGTGGATAGATATCGTATTGCACGAGATTTTGTGATATAATATGTTTCTCTAATTATTTTTTAGATGATAGCAGACTGTCATTATCCTTCTTTTTGAATGATCTGCAAAAAAAAGTTCTTTCTATGTGACGTCAGACAAGGTTGCCTTTTTTCATGAAGTCACAATAAGAATTTCAGAGTAAAATAAAAAAAAATTGACGTCATAAATGAAATTTAAATCAAAGGAACCACACGTTGAATAAATAAAAATAATAGATCAGGAAAAGTATAAATCGAGTAAAAACTTCGGATAATTAAGTGAACGTTTGCTTTTTCAATAAAAAAAAAACCCTTCATTTACAAATTGAAAACAAATAAACCTCTTTTTAATACTAGGGAGGTTTAAAATTAAAATTCGGATATAGAAAGTTTGAGTGTAATGGAACGACAATTAAACTTCAAAGGGGAATCATGGTTTTTTCCTTAAAAAATATTCTGATCCCAAATTTGAAAAAGGAAAAAAATAGTGTGGTCAATCGGATGACTAAAAAAATCAAGATTTTCCCCATACCTTTAAAATAATTATTTCTTTTTTATATCTTCAGTAATTTCACCAGAGCATGTTTGCACAATCACAAAAGGTTCATTTGTCTTTTGTCATTTCATTATCTTTGTGTATACTCGACTTAATGAGCCAAACTCTTACCAATTGATTTTTTCATTTTATTCGCATGTATAAATTTGAAGATGTGGTATGAACGTCAATGAGACAACTCTCCATCCAAGACACAATGTGTAAAACGTAAACAATTATAGATCAAAGTACGGCCATAAACAAAGATACTTGGCTCACACCGAACAGCAAGCTATAAAGGGCCCCAAAATGGGTAATGTCAAACAATTCAAACAGGACAACCAACACAGACAAAAAAATACGGGATGCTTGAGTGTTCAGAAACATGTTTAACCTCGTTTCACAACAATTATGAGGATATCCCTATCTAGAAATCCTATATTTATGAAGTGCTGTTGCTTCTTATTGCTTTTCGTTTGATATATATGTTTTATCTGGATTTATTACTCTCGCTATCAACTTTTCCACTTCATCCTAAATACCTTTCTCTATGTTCAAGCGTTACTTATTGTGGAAAACAACTTACAGTTATTAAAACCCTTGTCCTTTTGTTTTTGAAGATAATTGCCTAATTGTATAAACATTACGTTTAACGTAAAATTATTGAAGTGTGTGATCGAACGTTACGTTCATTTCTTAGGACCAAACATTTAATCAACCAGTTAAAGAGCAGATAGTTTATGAACCAGGGTGATGTCAAAGAACTTATCGTTCTTATTTTCAAAAAACGTTCATCGGAAGATACCAAGAACGTGTATAAACTCAACAAATTATACATGATGGTATTGAAGTATAGATTCTAGATGATGACTTTGTTTATCATCTTAATAACGTGTTATACTGATCTTTTATATGTCGTTGTAAATTTTTAACCTTTACTGTTAAGTCTTTTGTTAAGTTATAAACTTTTTGTGTGGCTGGTTACTTATACATCCCGCCATTGTGTTTTTGAGCTATGGTCTTTTTTGTTTTCTTGTCTGTCATTTTTGCCTATGTTTTTGTTTGTCTATATGACATTTTGTTTTTCCAGTTTTTACATATTTGTTAGTTTTATAGTGATAAAGATTATAACACAATGTTAAATGCTGTTCCCCTTCTTTTGACATTTTTACCTGTTATGTCTGTTTGTATCTACACACGTTGTTGTCAATATAATTGAATAGTATGCACCTGTCATACAAGTAAGAGGTTTTGCTAAATATCAACTCAGGTGTAATCCATCTTTTTCTACATGATTAACACCTGTTCCAAGTCAGAAAAATTAAAGTTGTTTTCATTCTTTAGATGTGTTTGCGCTTTTCATTTTGCCATGGATAAGGGACTTCCCGTTTTCAATTTTCCTGGGAATTCTGTATTTTTGATTTTTTACTTTACCCCATTCAAAGCAGAATTTTAACACAGAATATGTTGTTAAATACATATATGTCAGTACCGAAGCACTGACCACTGATTTGTTAATATCTTCGTGGATTCTCCAGGTTTAAACTGCATAGCCTAAAGCTTTGACTTTTCAATTTAGAACCGTAATGTTTAAACTTCACTTTAACAATTTACATTTTTTAAGTCTAAACGCCACTTGTTATATTTAATGCAAACCAAATAGTAAAGGTTCTGGTATAAACCAGACAGAATTGGAACCTATGACATACTCGGATGAACACTCCGAAGAATACCGTGTGGTGTTAGTATAAGCTAAGTTGTATTGAAAAGTGTCAAGTCAAACCATTAAAAACTGTGTCACAACCATGATAAAAAGGATGAAAAAGAACTTAAAACCTGTCAATATTCAACCTTAATAATTATAATCATAAAATTATCTGATCTAATTTTGATGGTATTTATTCTTGACCGAGTGGTCCCAAGACTAAAACACAACTGATTATTCTAACTTTAACCTTATATTCATCCCTATAGAGGAATCTTCTTCTACATAAGAAAATGCCTGTACCTATTTAGGTATATGACAGTTGTTATCCATTCGTTTGATGTGTTTGAGCTTTGGATTTTGCCGTTTGATTAGGGATTTTCCTTTTTGAATTCTCCTCGGAGTTCAGTAATTTTGTAATTTTACTTCAATAATCATCCTCTGTTTTGTGCCTGTTCAATTTAAACAATACCAGTCTTTTTTTTACATTTGCAGCACAATTTCTTAACCCTTTACATAGAACTAACTTTGAACACATGTTCTTCCCTGAATTCATTAAAACAACAGTTATTTTAGGAAGTGAACGTTTCTATTTAATTTATAGTGATGCAAGGTTTGCAAGTACCTATTGATGTTATATAATTAACAGATATGGCTTACTTATTCTCTCCCTGTTCTCAAACTCCTTCGACCATTTTAACGCTTTAAAACGCCGAAAGTAGTAGGAAGTGGATGTCATGTTTGCCATACAAATACCTGGTTCTTCCATACTAGCTTTAATGAAAACCTACTTAGACATATTTTCCTGATTATGGCAATTCCTTTCTTTTTTTGACCATTCTTCTAATCATACGATATGTTGCAAGAACAGACAGTGAAGTCAATGACTAACCTTGTTCAATTAAAAATAACTCTAACTTAAAGATGTTCGCTCCTCTTGTTTTTGAATTTTTGCAAGATATTTGGAATCCTCTGGTTTTATCTATGTAATGTACATTAAAAATTGTGTCCACTAACCCCTTCTTTTCTTTCCATAATTTGATTACATATAGTTTAAAATGGCATTTTTTGAAAATCTTATAAAATCCTTGTTATTTTTCATCGTTTTTGAAAGAAAAAGGTGCCTATGTTAAGTGTATGAAAAATGAGAATTATTTCCCGCCAAATCTTAAAATGGCTTATATCTCGAAAGCAAGCACACGAACCCTTCATTTTTTTCTGCTTTTTTAGTTTCTTTATTTATAAACTATCCATTCATAACAGTCTTTTGAAAAGCTTGTTATTTTGAACAACAGTAGCGATCATCCTTAATTACAGTGGAAACAGTGTTTGAAGTTGTCGCTTTTAACCCGAAATCGATATTCAAAGTATCTTCAATTTTGGCACGGTGTTTTCAAAAATTATTGCATGCATTTTGTTTTTGACAAAAATACAACGATAATTAATATGATATAAGGAACAGCTTAATAGAAATGTAAATATGTATCAGATACTATAAATGGTAGTTCTGACTATTGCGAAACCCCTCCAGTCGAATTGTTCGCATAAAAACCTCGCAATAAATTATAAATGTTTGGTATATAAATTTTGTTTGATCAACGATGACAATAATTATTAATCAATAAACTGCGCTGCTCTACACTATTTGTTATTACCATAACTGTTAGAATTACATGATCTACCTTCTGTTTTTTAAAGAAAAGAAGAAGTTTAGCAAAGATATTGTCTCGTTTCTCTTGCAAAATGGAGCAGATATTAACGCCATGAACGACCCTAAGGAAACGCCATTGATTTTGTGTATGAAAAGAGGATCGAACTATGCAACCGTTGACAACATATCATTCTTGTTGGAAAATGGTGCCAATGCAAATAGTTGTGCCGATGGGTCAAATTCTGCATTATTGGAGGCGATTTCATTTGAATCGTTTCATGTTGCTTCAGCTTTGATAGACCATCAAGCCAATTTAAAACATATTGGAGAAAATGGAAATACAGTACTTCATGCTCTTTTCTCAAAAGGTATCGTATTTGCTCAGGTTTATCAAAGCTAGCATTCAATATCGATTCCATATAAATTTAAAACTCTTTATAGCTTTTGTTACTTCCAATACAAGATGGGATTGGAGTTTTTAGACAGGGTATTTAATCTGTAATAGTTCAAATGCCACTTTTTAACAGCTAGCTAAAAAAAACTTTTCGGAAATGAGCTTTTTAAGCCATGTAAATGTTTTGAAACACGGTACGGTATCGCTACCAAAAATATTTGGGTATTGAAACATTTGTGAATTAATCAGAATAGTCGATGCAGAAACTCGTTCTTTAGGCTAAACATCTAATCAATATTCCCTTCAAAACCATATGTTCTTTGTAACATTGGTATATGTGTTAACCTAGTTGTTTGTAAAACTAGCATTGATTTTGTAACTCAATAATATTTTATTGATGTAATTTCCACTGTGTTACAATTGCCAACAAAAAGTCTTTATTTTAATGATTGTTCAATTGTTCTTTAGCATAGGATATAAAATAGAATTTTTTGGGTGAAAATGGGAAGGCAATTTATGATATGGTTACTAGTATACTAACACCTTAACAGTTTAACTAAATGTTATCGAAATATACATGTCCAAGCCTCTGATTTTCTTATGTTCTATTACGAAATTGAATGAAACATTAGACGTTAAAAGTCCATATAGGCGTATATGCTACTCAATTTTAAAAAAATATTGTCAATTTATAAAATGCAAACTAATGAATGTTTAGAATTTTAAATATATAATAGCTATCCTAAAATTATGAGTTCAAAGTTATGAAATTTCAATATTAAAGTATTTTTTCTAGTACAAAGTACAACTTTATGATGTGAAGAAAAGGTTCAAGTAGTGTACCGGTTTTTAAATAGTCCTTTAAAAAGATAGATGAAACAAAAACTGCCGGAATTTTATTAAAAAGAAACAATGGAAGCGAGACCAGGTGTGTTTACATATGAGATGATAATCATCTGTCATGAGTGAGTTGATTGAAAGATACGTTGTATCAAATGTAAAATCATAGGTGGATACATATGGTTCATTTACAGTTGGGCATTACACTTGTTTAAACAAAATCAGTATTAATAAAGACAGCATTGAAAGATCTCACGACGATGTATAATTGTTCACTTTAAGACGGACATGTTGCTATTAATTCCATTATTGCTGTTAAAAACCGGAACTGTTCTTTGGGCTTTTCATTTTTATGGAAAAAAGTGAAAAACAAAACAAGACATGGGTGACCAGTATGTAATGGTTATATGCATTTGTATTAAAAAACATTTTTACGAACTATGGTCGATGAACACTTCTGCGAAGACAAACAAGTTCTTTATTACCTTTGCTACCTCAATATCACATATGTCATGTCCGCAGAAAAGAACCAAATAATACAGTTTTGTATACTGATTTGGAAGGAAATAAGGTATCAACGACAAAAGGTGAAATCCTGCACAATTATATACCTATTCACCATATACCTGTCTAACGGTGCCATTGGAATTTCAATCCGAAAAAATAGTTGTTTTCAAATCAAAATGTTTCCTTGTTCAGCTATATTTTCTATATTTGTATTAAAGGAACGTTAAACGGGAGCTTCTGTGGGAAAATGCAAAGAAACAAGTCTAAGCTTGAAACTTTACTCTTAGCGAAAAATGCATCGGTATTAGGTTCGCAATTATTTAAACTGGTATCATAATTTTTCCTTTCTTTGTCACAGGTTATTTCTTGCAAGAATGCAGAGTTTGAATTTGTGGAATTAAATAATCGACTTCGACAGTTTTACGACGGTATCATGATTTGGTTGGCTATTTTGGAATATCTTTCTCTGATAACAAGGAATAAACTTCACTTGTCATACAAATAATCCTGCAATTATTTCCTTCTTTTTACTTGATATACATGCATTTGTTATGTTTTTTTCATAGGAGTAGGAATGCTGGAAAAGTGCACCAGACGACATTTTAAAATATGATTCGGTATACCTTGTTAATAATAACTTATTGTAAAATAATGTGTATGGAAACACTACCTTTCAACTGAAAGATATCCCTCTAAGACATAATTGTATGCGATTTGTTAAAATATACTTTTCACTTCTTTGATCTTTTGGAAAATGTTGTTTGTGCTGTAGTTAGACCCCTCTACCAAGAAATTTGTTTCACATGCACATGAATAAAAATTGCGGTTTTTATCCAACGCAATCATAGGTTTGAACGTTGTTTTCAATTTAGACTTGTTTATATTTTTTCGTTTGGGCTTGTATTATATTTTCCTTCGGGTTTATATGATCCGTTCATCCTATTTCGACTCTTTAAAATTCAAGAGTCTATACTAAATTCAGATAAATTTTATGGCCTTCCATATACCGTTTCGATCCCTAACATCACTGAAGAGACATTAATTGTCGAAATCCGGATATGGTTGACAAATTTGTGCACCTCATGTTTGCGGTAAACCATCTTCTCCGCAAGTTTATTGTTTTCTGTTTGGTATTAAATTGATTATTAAGATCCATGTCACATCTCGTGATCAATTTATTTGGCAATCGTCAATGGCAGTCAGCAGGGTTTAAGAACATCAGTTGTTCGACCTGTTCTTCAAATGCGATTTGTTAAAATATACTTTTTCACTTTTTTGGTCTTTTGAAAAATGTTGTTTGTGCTGTATTTAGACCCCTCTAACAAGAAATTTGTTTTGCATGCACACGTATAAAAATTGCGTTTTTTATCCAACGCAATCATATGTTTGAACGTTGTTTTCAATATAGACTTGTATATATATATATATATATATATATATATAATTATGTCTTGGAGGATGTTTTAAGGATTATGACCACATAAATAATAAAAAAAATAGTTGCTTTATCAATGATCAAATACAGTAATGCAAGATTATTAAATCAATTGTATACACATTTCGTTATGATACATTATATGATTAAAGGACATTTTAAAGCTAAATTGATTTTATTGTAGAAAACAAGCGCGAGATACAACCTCGCACATATTTCGATAATTACGCCTTGTATGACTCAAATGATGGCACAACATATGCTGGTTTTACGTCGTTTGATAAACCAATAGTCAAAAGATATGCGGTATCAATCAAATCGGATGGACATGAGGAAAGAGTAGAAAAACAGATATGCGAAGGTAAAATTTGTAGTCGCTTTAAATAATTATTGTATTCACCAAAAAACTTATCTGAATTAATATAATACTTCCACTTAGAGATTCCAAATGTTTTGAATTTGAAATTGAAAAAAAAATAATCAGCTGTAAAAAGCTCCCACATGTCAAACGACAATATCATTCAAGCGAGAAAACCAACGGTCGGATATATGAATAAAATAATTAGCAAAAACAAATACAATTAAAATGTCAATTGTTTTTGAACATTTGAGAGGTCTTTCCTTTTCGTACTGTAAAATATATGTTTCAATAGGAGTAGAATGCATTGAAAAGCTCTAAAACACACATAAAACCTTTAAAATATGACAAAAAACACATAATCCGCTATGTGGGACATGACCTTGACTTTTGACCTTATGACCTTTGTCACGGTCATTAGTCTACGATGTCATTACAAAAGATCCCATTGGTCTAGGACCTTTGGTTCAAGAGTTAAAGCTAATTTTGTTTTTTCAGAAAAAGTTATCGGGGGTTATTCCCCTTACTGATAGGTCAAATCTCTTCGGTCAAATGTAAAAAAGTGGCGCCTTAATGGCACAAACATTATTCACTATTCAAGATTTCTGTAGGTATAATGGTTTTTGAGATATCCCATGAAAAGTTGTAAGGTCAAACGTCAAGGTCAAACCTAAAAAGCTTTAAAACACACCTTAAACCCTATATATAAGGTCAAAAACACATAATTCATCATCTGGGACATGACCTTGACAATTGACCTTGTGACATTTGTCAAGGTCATTACTCCTCAATGTCATTACTGAAGACCCCATGGGTCTAGGACCTTTGGTTATTTTGTCTTTTCAGAAACCTAAAACAGGGGTCATGCCCCATACAGAAAGGTCAAATCACTTCGGTCAAAATGTAACAAAGTTGCGCCTTATTGACCCAAACATTTTCAACTATTCAAAACTTCTATAAGTATAACGGTTTCTGAGATTATCCCATAACAAGGTGTAAAGTCAAAGGTCAAGGTCAACATACAAATTTGACCTTGGGACATTTTCAAAGTCACATAAATTGATGATCATTGGTGAAGATCCTAGGTGGCTACGACTTACGGTTTCTGAGTTTTAGTGGCCAACCGACATCGATTAATTTTCATAGGGGCATAACCCAACCAATGAGTCGTTGAATCTTTTCGATCTAAATGTATCGAAGAACCAGGGTCTGGTCCTGAACAAATTCCACCCTTCGGTTTTTTGTACCTATTACGGTTACGGTTTTTGAATGAAAACAAGGTTTTTAGGTTTCGGAGGGATAACTCCGGACCGACAAAATATTACGACTCACAGGGTGAGTTCCGGATAGGTATTTATGACTCCGATACAAAGTGTGAACATGAAAACGACACGTCTTACGGTTAAGGCTGCTAGCTGCTAACTTCGTCAAAGTTTGGCGGAAAAAGAAGAATAATAATTAAAAACCAATTGTTCAGAGAACAATTGAAAGTCTTTCAATCCATAAAGATCAATTTTGATATAGGACTATTAAAATTCAGTTTGATATATCATATCCAGCGTCAAATGATAGCTTATTGTACACTGATTCCAAAAATATATGGTTTCTATACATATTTTCCTAAATAAGGGAGATAAATTGTTACTTCCGGTTTGAAATATGTCACTTCCGGTTGTATTTAATAGTTTACTTGATACTGATTCCAAAAATATATGGTTCAATATACTTTAACATTAAATAAGTACAAAAAATAGCTACTTCCGGTTTACACCAGGTCACTTCCGCTTGGCTTTTCCATGGTCAAGTGGCTTGCAACGTGTTGCAAAAAGTCCCATGGCTTTATCATGTATACATATGAGGTAAAAGTAAAAATCTAGAACGTCAGTTTTACCTATGACCTTGAGCTCAATTTCAAGGTCATAAACCAAGGGCTTCAAATCAAAAGACTATAGGTCTTAATTATATATTGTTAATAATTATATCACAATATGTCTAATTTTTAATATAAGAGGGGAGGAAACTCCAATTTAATGTTAGCGTACCCTTTCAACCAAAATTTATGTGTTACGACATATCGCAACTTACAATTTAGTAAAAATATGTTGTCGATATCTTATACGGTTTTTGAAAAGAATTGAAAATAAGCCAAAATCAAAATTTAAAATATGACCTTGACCGCTGACCTTGACCTAATTTTCTTATTTTTGGATCAAGGACCTCAAATCAAAAGATCCTGGGTCTCTATCACTTATGGTTTACTAGATAGAAATGCATATCACTTATATCAAATGCATAAGGGGAAATAACTCTCATATGGAGTGTTCATATCGCTTCGGACAAAATAGGACAAATCATGCAAAGGATATAACGAGCAATTTTATAAAATAAATTTCTTTTACGGTTACGGAGGAGATGCAGTCACAAGGAATAAACAGTGTTCAGGGAGATAACTCCTACAAAGAAAATTGTTCGGCTTAGAATGGGTGAAATTAAAAATCTCATAAACTGTATGATACTATATAAGAAATATCTAAGCGACATCTTGCGAAACAAAAATTTTATGCGAGAACAAAATTAGGCGGAAGAAAAAAATAATAATAATTAAAAACCAATTGTTCAGAGAACAATTGAAGGTCTTTCCACCCGAAACGATATATTTTGATGTGAAAAATATTAAAACTCTGTTAGAAATGTAATTTTCAGCGCCAAATTAGAGCTTATTATACGCTGAATTTAAAAATATATGGTTTCTATAAATATTTGTGCGAAATAAGGGAGATAATTTGTTACTTCCGGTTTGAAAAAGACACTTCCGGTATCATTTGATAGTTTACTTGACACTGATTCCAAAAATATATGGTTCTATGTACTTTTACATTAAATATGGACAAGAAATAGCTCCTTCCGGTTTACAAAAGGTCATTTCCGGTTGATTTTTTCAAGGTGATATGGCTTGCAACTTAATGCACAAAGTACCATAGCTTTATCAGGCATACATTAAAAGTTGAAGCAAAGGTAAAAATTTAGAACGTCAAATCAAACTTTGACCTTGAACCCAATTTCCAGGTCATGAAACAAGGGCCTCAAATCAAAACACTGTAGGTCTCTACTATATATTGTTAATGAGTTATATTACCATACAGCTAATATTAGATATAAAAGGGGCGAAAACTCCCATTAAATGTCTACGTACCCTTTCAACTAAAATTAACGTGTTACGACATGTCGCAACTAACAATTCTGTAAAAATATTTTGTCGATATCTTATACTATCTCTGAAAATAAGTGATAACAAGACAAAATCAAAATTTAGAATATGACCTTGACCTTTGACCTTGACCTTATTTTCTTTTCTTTTTTTGGACCGAGGACCTCAAATCAAAAGACCTCAGGTCTCTATAAGTTATGGTTTTTCAGTAACAAATGCACATCACTTATATCAAATGCATAAGGGGAAATAACTCTCATATGGAGTCTCCGGATAGCTTCGGTCAAAATTTATCAAATCATCCTGAGGATATAACGAGCAATTTGGTAAAATAAATTAGTCGGTTTCTTATGCGGTTGCGACGTATAAGTAATAACAAGAAAAACAGTGTTCGGGGAGGTAACTCTTACATGGAAAAGTTTTTGGTTACGCGGTGTCAGTTTCAAAAGCGTATTAACTGTTCGATATCATACACCATATGTCTAAGCGACATCTTGCGAAACAAAAGAACAGCGAAGGAAAACAAATTAGGCGGAAGAAAAAAAAATAATAATAATAATCAGAACAAAACCAATAGGTCTTTCCACGGAAAAGTGGAAAGACCTAATAATCAGAAGAAAACCAATAGGTCTTTCCACGGAAAAGTGGAAAGACCTAATAATAATAATAATCAGAACAAAATTAAAAGGTCTTTCCACGGAAAGGTGGAAAGACCTAATAATTAAAAACCAATTCTTCAGAGAACAATTGAAGGTCTTTCCACCTCGATAATAAGAATGAAATTTAAAAAACGGTGTTGGAAAATGTCACTCCTGGTTCATGTAAATTGTTACTTCAAACTGATATAACAAAAAAAAGAATTATAGGTACATTTCCACAGGATAAGTCTGAAATAGAATACTTCCGGTTAAAATACGGTCATTTCCAGTTGACCTGATAAATAATGATGAGTTTACAACCAAATGCAGAAGACTTAATTGTTTTATAATGAAACAGTAAAATGTTTTAGCAAAGGTCAAAATCAAGAACGTCAAATTGACCTTTGACCTTGACCTCAATTTCAAAGTCATAGGTCAGTGATCTCAAATCGAAAGAACCCAGGTCAATCACTTGTATGGTTGTGAGGTAATACTGATTTCAGATACATAAGGGGAGAAAACTCCTATAAGGGTTGACCAAAACATTTCAACTATAATGGGTTGAAGTTGCGCCCTATCGTAAACAGTTATTTGGCAAACACATCATATCATTAACTGTTACGGTTTCTTTTGAATAAAGATAACAAGCAAAATACAAATTTAGAACATGACCTTGACCTTTGACCTTGACCTCAATTTCCTCCAAATGAACCAAGGACTTCGTATCAAAAGACTTTAGGCCTCTCCGACTTAAAATGTATGAATTTATCTAACATATCACCTATTTTAAATTTCAAAGGGAATAACTCCCATAAGATGTCATCCGATCACAGCTGTTTGACTTAACGAAACCATTCTTTAGAGGAGACGAACAATTTGGTGAAAACAGTTTGTTGAAATCTTTTACGGTTTCAGAAATATAAAGATAACAAGAAAAAGGGGACGAGGGGAGATAACTCCTATAAGAATAAGTGTTCGGCTACACAGGGTGAGTTTTGAAATCCACATTACTGTACGACATCATTGGCCAAAAATCCTTTCAATATGTTGTAAAACAAAAAAGCATCTCAGACGGCAGAAGAAAAAAAAAATAATAATCAGAAGAAAAACAAAAGGTGTTTCCACGAAATGAGGAAAGACCTAATAATAATAATCAGACCAAATACAATAGGTCTTATCACAGAAAAGTGGAAAGACCTAATAATAATAATAATAATAATAATAATAATAGTAATAATCAGAAGAAATACAGTAAGGTCTTTTCCTTTTGGAAAAGGAAAGTCCTTAATAATCAGAAGAAATACAGTAAGGTCTTTCTCTTTTGGAAAAGGAAAGACCTTAATGAACAGCAACCAACGACAAACACTGAATAACAGGTTCCTGAATTGGGACAAACACATACAATATGTTGCGGCGTTAAACATATTTTAGAGTTGTCAACCCTCCATCTAATTTTAACAGCACACTAAACGAGCTTGATTTACAAAATAAACGAGAAATCGCTTAATTCAACAGATGAATACATGGCACAAAACTATATTACATAAAAGCAAAGACACAAAGTATCGATTTAAAAGTACTAGTAAGCTGACAGACATGTAGTTTTGTTTCTTATTTCTTAAAGTGAATATGTTAATTCTGCTTATAAAATTTCTTTGGTTTATCTCAGTATCAAATTCTTAAATTTGACAACATTTATTTAAAGATAAAACAATACAAAACAATATAAAAACTAATCACTGTCCCTTACCTGAAACTCGAAGAATCACAGGTAAAGTTCCTGTTATTACCTGTCGGTTTTTAAGCTTCTATTGTTTGAATTGCATGTCTATTTGTGCATGTAAAAAACGAAAACAACACGTTTTAAATGTCATGGGTCCGGATCGTTTTTCGGGTTTTACCTTCATCAGGAAAACACCAAAACAATAAAATAGCTGAATTCATATAAGTAAACTTTGCCTGAGGGAGTTGCTACCTTTTGTTTCTTTATAATGTCAATATTTACAAAAGGATAATTTTAGAAAAGGTATTTCTCGTACGTTGAGGTTCGTGAGGGATTTTCAGGAGCCGAACGAATGGCGGAGAGAGTATTTTAAAAGCCTAAGGGAATCTTTGCTAGTCATGTAAAGTTGGTTATAACTTATGAAAATTTTAAAGTGATTAGACATGGGGTTTTAAGTAATCGACTATATGCCCTCATAAAGGTACCAATTAATAAACGTCACATTTGACCTTGAACATTTTGCAATTGACATGAACACCTTAAGAGATTTAAAGATTCTATCAACGGAAAATATTGTACATGACAAAATACGGAACATATTCATCGGCAACATATTGGTTAATTTTGATGAAATGATATTTCAAACTAGAGTTTACGATAATTTCAACTTTCCGATTATCACCTTACAACTTCTCAGCATACCATTCCCTCTATCTTATTGTGTATATGTTCCGGACCATATGAGTATTTGGACCATTCACGTATGGTCATGACCATATACATATGCTCATATGGTCCGACCATACGGTCGGATCATATGACTATTATACTCGTTTGGTTATTAACGAGCCGGACCATATGAGTATTTAGACCAAATATGTATTCTTCGAATATTCTAACTTTCTTTGCAGGAACACATAGCTCATTCTCCGAACAAATAAAAATCCACAAATTGCTATAACCCTTCTTTTATCCTTAACATATATGAAATATAGTCTGATTCTTGGTGTATCTGTTATCTTGCATAATTTTGCTTGAAGTCGATTCAAATCGCCTATGCACTGACGATACTGATCCGTAAGTGAAACCACATGCGTAAGTGGGCATGTGTCTCTATGCTGTTTTTTGTGTTTAAATCATCAAAGTATTTCAGAAACACAATTTCTTCTGATTCCCTTAAATTGAAGTGTTCTTGCTCCTATTCAAACGATCGTTGCGATCTTAGTGTTACTTTAAGATCCTATGAGTAACAGCAAGAACACATAAAACATTGTCTAAAACATTAAGAATTGTTTTAAGAAATTATAATTTGATACGAATTGAAACACCAAAAAAATTTAGAAAATAAAAGAAATAGGGTCTAATGACCAAAGTGCCAGTGAATTAAGCAGTTTACTTATTGTTTAACAGTTTATATAGGTATTTCTTGAAGTAATTATCCAAAGTCGGCATGTTGCGTTTCGTAAGGACAAAGCAATACTGAACATGTTAACATTAGTTCTTACTTTTCCTTTACTTTTCCAAACCATACGCGGATCTTATGCGTATATACGCAGATGGTCATGTTTATACGCGTATGGTCCAAACACGTACAGGTATATCTACAATATGAAAATATCCAAAATTATATTTACAATCTTTCAAGAGACTTTATTTCAGTTGTTTTCGTTTGTTGTTCTATACCATATTTGATTTTCGTTAATAAATCGGGTAATTTTTTTCGTTTGATTTGTTTAACATTAGTCATTTCAGGGCTTTTTATAGTTGACAATGCAACGAACAGTGACCTTAAGTTGTTAGTATTTGTGTTTTAATCTTTTGTAGAGAATTTTCACATTGACAATTATACCACATCTTTTTTATTTTTATTTAAACAAGGTATTTCAGCTTAAGGGTAGGTACTACAGATCAACACAAAATGTTTTCATGGCCGACCATAGTTTTATTATAAAGGTAATAACAAATATTAAATTTAAAACCGATTGTTAATTGATGTTTTTTAATTGTTTAATACAGTTTTAGAAATCGCTGTTGAACTAGTGGATGCAGGAGCATGTTTAAATATTGTCAACAAAGATGGACATACTCCTCTTTACTGTCTCATTAAGGAGAAAGATACAACTACCATTGAATCAGTGCTGCCATATCTTATAGAGAAAGGATCTGATCCTAATCTAGGTTACGATTTGCCATTAATTGCTTCTGTATATTTAAATCAAACCACAACAACAAAAATGCTTTTGGAGCACGGTGCTGATGTAAATAGAACGAATTCTCTGGGAAATACAGCTCTTACAACAACTTTGAATGATTACTGTCACCCCAAAACAGGTCTGATTATGATAGCGTTTTTAATTTCTAACGGATATATACATAAGTGAAAAAAAAAAAATCTAAAATTTCAAATTGATACCATAAGTCATAAAATAAATATTCTATATTTAGGATATTTAAGGCAAGTTGGTATATATCCTTATTCGTACATATGAAGTTGTTCTTCTCCTATACTAAGTAGATTAAATGCATTGTGAAGATTCTTTTTCAAGGATATCCAAACATAAAAATTCTTTAAGTTGTCGAACAAGATCAGGCGGAAACGTCATTATGTCTGGATAATTTTGACATACTTATAACATAGATATAAGAAGATGTGGTATGAGTGCCAATGAGACAACTCTCCATTCAAGTCAAAATTTATAAAAGTAAACCATTATAGGTGAGAGTACGGTCTTCAACACGGAGCCTTGGCTCACACCGAACAGAAAGCTATAAAGGGCCCCAAAAATTACTAGTGTAAAACCATTCAAACGGGAAAACCAACGGTCTAATCTATATAAAAAACGAGAAACGAGAAACACTTATGAACCACATCAACAAACGACAACTACTGAACATCAGATTCCTGACTTAGGACAGGTGCAAACAAATGCAGCGGGTTTAAACGTTTTAATGGTACCAAACCTTCTCCCTTTTTCAGAAACAGTAGTGTAACATCACAACATAGAAAGACACACTATAAAATATCAACTGAAAAAGCTTAACTCAATCAAAGGACATATTAACACCAGTGAACATACACTGAACAAATAAATTTGACCTATGATACAATGTAAATACAAAATAAATAAACTAAGGGAAGAATAATAAAAGTAACATGTTATATCGGTATGAAATGCATTTATGTAAAACAGTGACTAATTTTGTCCTGCAGTACAATGTTTTGTGCAGGGCATTAGTCGTGTATTAAGTTAGAATATATTATGAAATTATGTTTGTTTCTATTGATATTTAAAAATCTTACTAAAGTAGCCGTTCGTTTTTGTTTCTTGAAATGTCAAATGTTGAATAAAAATCCTTTCTGGAAAGACAAAGAAACCATCATAACTAACCACTATACAGGGTATTTATTTTAACGATTGTATCAGATAATACAATATATCTATTTAATAAAGAAATCCTTGTCGTTAAAAAAACAAATCCTTGATTATATTTTATTGATAAAAATCTATATTTCATAATGAGAAATATTTGATTTCTACAATGGTTTATATTTGAAGACAACGAAAATTTTACGATGACTTGAATTGATCACAAAAAGATTTCTTATATCTCCTTTTTACTCCTTTTAAAAATAACTATCGAATGTTTAATTTTTTTATATATTTAGCTAAGAAAATTTGAATATCGAACCGATTGCTAGCAGACGATTGGATATTGTTTCTCAAATAACAAATAACAATCCGGCCGCTACCTTCACATACATTCAATTTTTCTAGGTTTTTTTCTATAAATGATAATAATGTTATCGTTCGTTGTGGTGGCGGTTTTGGTGGTACATGTAGTGTTGTTCTCGTGAAGTTTTCTTTTATTTACTTTAATTTTTGCAAGCCTGCAATTTTTTGCACATGGGCTTCGATGATTACTATTATGATTATTTATATGAATAAAATACAAATATGTCTGTTTTTTATCATATATATTGTATGAAATGAAAATAAAATCTCAATTATACATTTTTCCCCCTTAGGGTATAAGAAAGAAATAATAGATATCCTACTGAAATCTGGAGCATCTGTTACTCTCACAGACGGCAATGGAAAACAACCACTGTTACTATTAATTAATTCCGTAACACAGCGTGCAGACTTTTACCATGAATACTCTGATTATGACAAGGAAGTAAGCCAGACAGTTTTAAAACTGATTGGAAAGGGAGCGGATCCTAATGCCATCGAAGTGGATGAAGACTCTGCTTTGATCCTAGCAGTACAATATAAGTTGCTAACAATTGTTAGAATTCTTTTGGAATCAGGCGCAGATATTAATCATCTAGGAAAAAATGGTCAAAATGTTTTACATTGTTACTTCCGTTACAATGGTGAGAGATTATTCCTAATCTTCCCTTAAAATAATACAGAATAAAATTGAGAATGGATATGGGGAATGTGTCAGAGACAACAACCCGACCAAAGAGCAGAAAACAGCCGAAGGCTACCAATGGGTCTTCAATACAGCGCGACAATCCCGCACCTGGAGGCGTGCTTCAGCTGGCTTTCCTAACAAAAATTGTACTAGTTCAGTACTAGTAATAATGGACGTCATACTTAACTCCGATTTAACTAAATTTAAAATCAAGACTAACACAAACCAGAGGCTCCTGACTTGGGAGAGGCGCAAAAATGCGGCTGGTTTAAACATGTTTTTTTTATATCTCAACCCTCCCCCTATACCTCTAGCCAATGTAGAAAAACAAACATACAGCAATACGCACAGTAAAACTCATTTAAAAAGAAGTCCGGGTCCGATGTCAGAACAGGTAACAAAAGAAACTAAACAAAACGACAATGATACATAAAGTAACAAAGGTCTACTAGCAGTAACTGACATGCCTACTCAAGACCTCAATTAAACTGATTGAAAGATTATGTCTTCATCATATGAATATCAAGCACAATCCCTCCCGTTAGGGGTTAAGTATTATACCATCATAAAATATATGAGAAGAACATTATCCGCAACATACCAACAACTGGTTTTAGAATTAGTTTATTTCCGATGAAAAGACCCTATAAGTGAATCAATATTAAAGCCAAAATATGCAATCTTGAATGACCTAACAACAGTATTGTAACTATATCTCTTCTTATTAAGTCTGTTTAAAGGCTTTGTTAGCTTTTGAAGTGAATGCCGACATTTTTGTGCTTTGCAAAGAATATTACTATAAAAGATTGGGGGTGAAATACCTGAACGTATAAATTGTCTGCATGTTGATTTAAATATACAGACGACGTTCTTGTACCGATGATAAATGTTAGTAAATGTGTTGACTAGTTTGTGATATCGAAAACCCTAGTGTAATAATTTTTCAGTAATACATAGATGTCTTTTGCTAAAATCTAATACGTTGTTACAAACACGAGCGAATCGTACAAGTCCAGATATATAAACACCATAAGATGGTGACAAGGGACCGTTACCATCTAAAAATGGATAATTAACAATAGGAAATGAAAAATCATCTCATTTATTATACATTTTGTTATTAAGCTTCCCGTTAATGATATAGATATCACGATCTAGGTAAGGACAGTGTTCATTGTTAGTATTAGCTTTATTATTAAATTTTTGTATCAGATGTTGTTTCGATTGGTCTTTGCTGAGAAGAACAAATTCAACAGTGTGATAATCTTAATATGACCAGTTTTTCTTTCATTACTTTAAGGAAAATACTTTTTTATAATTTAGGTTGTTGGTAGTTAATGTTCCCTAAATGTTTCTTCCATGTTTTTGCTTGAACGTCTGTTTTTTTCAGAGATGAACGATGTTGGTTATTCATGGGGTCTTCTGTACTGTGCAATATTGTTTGCGATTTTTTAAGTATTGTTTGTTTTAGCACTAGTTCTAGATAAATATACAGTCATTTTAAAATTTAACATATTACTATTTAGGTTGATTGTTGACATATGATTATCAACTTAATGTGTATTCTAGCTATTTTTGCTTTTGGTGTTCTGTCATATAAAATGTTTGCTGTATTTCCTTTTGTTCAAATTTAAAATTATGGCCAACGCTTACAAATAAGTTTTTCAGCTCAATGCTCTGTTTGGACATACAAAAGAATAAATCAACAAAACACGCTGAAAAACAATCTACAGTTTCTTTTTTTTTCATATTATCATTACATAGGAAGCTTATAATATCAATCTTAGATAGCCGAAATGTAAGGCTGTATCAAAGGAGTATTGGTGATGATGTGTTAATGTGAACATTTGAACCAGGGGTTGTCTTATATTTATGTTTTCTTTTTCTTAATTTCCAGGAATCATTCAATTTTACGATAATAGAGGTTCAAAATCCCTTGAAATACTGGAATTACTTTTATCAAAACACCTTAGAGTAAATCTTCAGGATAATGATGGAGCTACTCCGTTACACCTGTCAATAAAAAATCAGAATATTGAAGGCGTGAAGAAACTTCTGTCTGCCGAATCAGATATTTTACTACAAGGAAAGGATGGGTTAAATGCGCTTGAGCTCTGTTTGACTTTGAGTAAGTATGTTTGTTTTAATTTTATCTGTGAGAATTCTAATATGGATACCATGGATAAGACAAAAAAATGCATAAGTCTCCTACTCTCACCGCATTTTCCTCTGTGAATAATATGAAATCAAACATTTTATTTTGTAAGAATTATAGCCCTGAATACTCTTTTCCTTGTAAGAACAATTCGTCCAAAATATTGATAATATTTTTTCTTAAATTGTTTGCTTCATCTGCAGGACTGTACCTCAATTTTGACTGATGCAATTATGTGGTATCAGTTATCTACCCTTCATTATTTTACTAAAAGAAGGTACGGCTCTTGTCGTAAATATTGAAGATGCATATATCAAACAGGATCCTCGGAATTCTAGAAATATGCATATAATATCATTAACGGACCCTATTATTATTCTTATAGTCGGCAGTATTTTAGTGTGGAATTTAATGTCTTTTTACACTTGAATACAACGAAAACAGTATGTTTTATTTGAGTAACAGAAATAAGATATTGAAGTACTGCATGCCAATTTAAATCTATAAACTGCAGAACAGTTTTGTTACAAACCAGAAATTTAAACTTCTCTCATGCATTTTTTTTATTACGGATATACAATCCGTTATTTTCCTCTGTTTGTAATGTTATTAATCAAGTTCAATTATTAGTTCGTTTTGTTCGACATGGTTTTTTTTATAGTTTCGAGGTAAGATTGTGCATGATCTGTAATTCGGTAGCACAGTTTAGAAATTAGGGGCCGACAATGGGCCAAAAACAAGCATGTTTGTAGTTTCCAGACAAAAACTTGTATGTAAGTAGAAATAGGAAGATGTAGTATGAGTGCCAATGAGACAACTCTCCATCCAAGTACTAGTAACAATTTATAAAAGTAAACCATTATAGGTCAAGGTACGGCCTTCAACACGGAGCCTTGGCTCACACCGAACAGAAAGCTATAAAAGGCCCCAAAAATTACTAGTGTAAAACCATTCAAACGGGAAAACCAAAGGACTAATCTATATAAAACGAGAAACGAGAAACACTTAAAAACCACATAAACAGATGACAACCACTCACCATCAGATTCCTGACTTAGGACAGGTGCAAAGAATTGCAGCGGGATTAAACGTTTTAATGGTTCCAAACCTTCTCCCTTTTCTGAAACAATAGTATAACATCACAACATAGAAAGATACACTATAAAATATCAATTGGAAGGCTTAACTCAATCAAAAAACGTAGTAACACAAATTAACAAACAATGAACGAATAAATTTGATCTGTGATACAATGCAATACATAGTTAATAAAAATAAGGGATGAATGATTAAGGTAAAAAGTAAATAAATAGGTATATGGTAGTGTATGGATCTGTCAGACATTGTATCAAAAGGTTCCATATCACAAAGAGAAGGCTGGGATTGAGTTTAGGGGTAATTGCCCCAAACATGCAGGAAATTTGCGCGAAAAAGGGGCAAAAAACAAGCATTTTTGTAGTTACAAAAACAATAACTTGTGTTTAAGTGTATGGATCGCTCTAAAATTGTATTACAAGGTTGTATAACACAAAGGGAATACTGTGATTGAGTAAGGGGTAATTGCTTCAAAACGGGGGGAGGGGGGGGGGGGGTAAAAAGTTTGGGGGATGTTTTCCAAAATTTTAAGGGGTTCGTATTTTTTTTCAAAATTTTTCAATTTTAGATTTTTTAATAAGTTTCTAGAAGAAATCTTCAAATGCACATTATTGCGTAATAGATTTTTAAGATCTTTGACCACGTTTATTTTTATCATAAATCAATATTGTGTCAAAAATTTGATCACAATCCAAATTCAGAGAGTATCAAGCTTGAATAATGTGTCCAAATTTCCCAAACTGTTTAGGGTTCGACCTCTGCGGTCGTATCAGGCTGCGCTCAGCAAAGCATTTTATTGGGAAATGTGTTAGATTTTATTCCTATACGAGCCCAAAAAGAAAACAAAAACTGCAGTTTGAGGAAAAAGATTGCGGTTCAAAAGAGCAATACCAATTCAGAGGAATATGAGCATGAACTTGCCCTAAAGACTTTAATTACACATGTTCTTGCATACGAAGTGTTTTCGTATGTCACACATTCTCGACAAGTCCTGTTAATTTTTTCCCTAGAATGTATCCGATACGTATTTATCTGCAAACTTCAAACATTTATAAAGTTCCTTAAACAACCATGCAGGCACAGTGTAACCAAGGGATATCAAAAAGAGTATTTAGCTATGACCTTATAATAAAAGAGGGTGAAATTTCAGCTATTGGCAAATCGAGGTCTTTGTAAAATTTTCAGAGTCGAACCATCATAATATCAATGATATTTTAAATGAGGAGCAGATAGTTATTGGGTCAATAAAACTTCGTTATTTGCTTCTATTTATAGGATGCTCGCATCGTTTTTCAAATGCATTTGTTGGTTATCAGTACGAAACATATCATGAACAAAATTGGCTTATTATTTTTAAGCTCACCTGGCCCTAAGGGCCAATTGAGCTTTTCTCATCACTTTGTGTCCGTCGTCTGTCGTCCATCATCGTCCGTCGTTAACTTTTACAAAAATCTTCTCCTCTGAAACTACTGGGCAAAAGGTAACCAAACTTGGCCAAAAAGATCATTTGGGTATCTAGTTTAAAAAATGTGTCCGATGACCTGGCCCGCCAAACAAGATGGCCGCCATGGCTAAAATAGAACATAGGGGTAAAATGTAGATTTTGGCATATATCTCTGAAACCAAAGCATTAAGAGCAAAATTGTGCGTCAGGTCAAGATCTATCTGCTCTGAAATTTTCAGACAAATCAGACAACCCGTTGTTGGGGTAGCTGCCCCTGAATTGGTAATTTTAAGAAAACTTTGCAGTTTTTGGTTTTTATCTGCAATATAATTATAGATAGAGATAAACTGTAAACAGCAAAGTAAGATCTACAAAAAAGTCAGCATGACCAAAATAGTCAATTGACCCCTTAAGGAGTTTTTGCCCTTTTTAACAATTTTTTGTAAAATTTTGTAATCTGTTACAAAAATCTTCTCTAAAACTACTGACACAAATTTAACAATACTTGGTCATAATTATTATTAGGGTATCTTGTTTAAAAATGTGTCCTATGACCCGGCCTACCAACCAACATGGCCGACATGGCTAAAAATATAACATAGGGGTAAAATGCAGATTTTGGCTTATATCTCTGAAACTAAAGCATTTATAGCAAACCTGACAAAGGGTTAAAAAGTTCATCAGGTAAAGATCTATCTGCCCTAAAATTTTCAGACAAATCAGAAAACCCGTTGATGGGAAGCTGCCCCTGAATTGGTAATTTTAAGGAAGTTTTGCAGTTTTTGGTTATTATCTTGAATAAAATTATAGATAGATGTAACTAGCAATAATATTCAGCAAAGTAAGATCTACAAATAAGTCAAACAAGACCTAAATGGTCAATCGACCCCTTAAGGAGTTATTGCTCTTTAAATAAAATTTTTAACAAATCTTTTGTAAATTTTTGTAATCTTTTACAAAAATCTTCTCCTCTGAAACTACTGAGAAAAATTTAATCAAGGCGCAAATGTATTGGATCAGTAACAAGATTAACCTTGTCCCTGCAAACGAAAATCTTTGTGCTCAAAAGGTGGTGTAATCTGTCCTTCACAGAACTTTGTCCGTGTCAAGGACACTAGAAAAAACACGCGACCCGAGACTAAATCAAAGTACCTACGCCTTAGTTTAAGCCTGGATTTTAAGTATACGTATTGTCATCTGATATAGGTGTCAGACCACCAATTCAATCCCTCCAATTTAGAACGTTAAAGTAGTGTTTTGGCGTCATTGTTTACTTAAACTAACCATCAAATTTGCAGAAATGACACTTTTGATGAAGGAGAAATACAATGAAATATATTTAGATTATTTTGAGCCACAATTTACTTGTCTGAGTTTGCACTAAAAATTGAGGATTAATGCGCTCCATAGTTACTCATTTAAGTTTCTTTAGTTTGCCTCAACCAAATGTTATCAAACTTATACATAATGCTTATTACCATTAAATACAGATCAAGTTTGAATTTTTGCGGCGCCACTTTTACCGTTCTAGAGTTATGCCCTGTACAAATGGATAAATTGCTAAATTTTTCGTTTCCGTTCTCTAACTTCAGCTTGCCTCAACCAAATGTTATGAAACTTATACACAATGCTTATTACCACCATATACAGACCATGTTTGAATTTAGGTGCTGTCACTTTTACTGTTCTAGAGTTATGCCCTTTACAAATGGAAAAATTGCTGAATGTTTCATTTTTGTTTCTAAAAGTATCAATGAATTAATTTTTAAAATTGGAGTTATCTTCCTTTGTCCTTGATTATAGTTGAATCAACTACAATCAATGCTTTATACAATGCAATGTTTAATTTTGCCTTCCACTGATTAGTTATTTATAGTGAATATAGCATCTTCTGCATGAAGACGTAATTTGACAGAATGTATTACAGTACTAGCTGTGTATTGATTCCTACACTTTTGCAAATGCTATATACAAAGGGAGGAAACTCAATATCTTTTAAGTAATCTAAAGTGGAGGTTTAATTAGGTTATTCTGCAAACCAATATCCCTAAGCCAATAACTTGTTTCAAATTAGTTAAGACTTGTAAATAAACTCATCATAGATACCAGGATTGAATTTTTTTATTTACGCCAGACGCGCGTTTCGTCTACAAAAGACTCATCAGTGAAAAGTATTTTTTAAAGGGAAAAAAAATGCTAAATTTTTAGTTCCGTTCTCTCACTTAAGTTTGACTTTACCACATGTTATGAAACTTATAACGAATGCATAACCATAAAACACAGATCAACTTGAATTAAGGTAGTGTTACTTTAATCATTATCGAGTTATGCCTCTTTATAAATCGAAAAATTGCAAAATGTTTAGGTTCCGTTCTATAACTTAAGTTTGACCCAACCAAACATTATGAAACCTATACACAATACTTTTTACCACAATACTCAGATAAAGTAAATATTTGGGTAGCGTCACTTTTTCTCGTTCTTGAGTTATGTCCCTTAATAATGTTGTATGAATGCGGGGGCATCATCTGTGTCCATGGGGACACATTCTCCATTTATTTTTTTTAATTAGAAGGCGAATAGAAAGGTTATCGAACGCATCGGAAAAACATTTTTATATGATTGAATATAAATATCATAGTTTACGTTGCTTCGTTCGTTACTAATTTTTTAAGTCTCTTCATATACATAACTCTAAGATCATGAATTACATGGATTTTATCTTTATTAACCTTGTTTGCCTTGGATTAACAATTCTGTTTTGACAAAATTTTCAAACGATAATTTTACAGTGTCCTCCGTATATATAAGGTGTTGTATAGTTATGAACAATCGCGTCATTTTCGACAGATTTATCTTCACCGATTATAAAGAAAACTTGCCGTTCAAGCAATCCCCATGAATGAAATATGTGCCCCTTGACGTTTAGCTACCAACAAAATAAATCAACCGACAACTAAATATGATAATAATATTAAAAAGAAATATTTTCATATGCAAATACAGGACAGGGTCACTGAACAATTGGTATAAACGGCAGCCATGTCAGATATGTCGACTTGAATTGATAGCGATGTGGTTGGGTATTTTTGCATTCCGTTTAGTCATACGTACGCCCTGCCTATATTTATAAGCATGGGTTTTATTGTCAGACGGGAGATTTCCAGTGATGATCCGGATTTGTTTTCTCTCAATCGCTTTATGACTTTCGAACAGCGGTATACTACTGTTGTCTTTATAATCATAACAAGAAACACGGGTCAGCTATTGGCTGGTTGCAGAAGGTTAACACTATATTTTGGGTTTTTTATGTAAGGAAAGGGGAAAAAGAAAAATGAGAATTGGTGAAATTGGTCAACGAAAATGGTTAAGTTAGAGAGAGTGAATAAACTCATCTAAGATACAGGATTAAAATGTAAACGCCAGACGCCCGTTTCGTCTACAAAAGATTCATCAGTGACGCTCGAATCCAACATGCTGAAAAGATCAAACGAATTACAAAATTGATGAATGTTTCGGATCCACAAATTCGAACGGTTTTGCTAAATACAGCTAAGGTATCATATTGGAGAGATAATTTTGGATCTCAAACAAAAACAATCATACACTCTGTAACCTTTAATGTGAACTATTGGCTGTGCTGTTTTTTAATATTAAGTTTATCGTGTAAATATAAACTTAACTTTACATATATTATATTTTTTACAGGGGCGGACCGAGATAAGTGCTTACAAATTCTAGATGCGCTTACCGATCATCAACTCTTGGATAGGAATGTTGATGTCTTCTTCCGTAAATTTTGGGAATACATTAAATCAAATGAGTTTCAAGGAGACATGAAAAATCTCGACAGTGTAACATGTAAGATATTGACCACTGGAGAAGATGTAAATGTTAATTTTGCCAAAGAAATGGACGACTCACCACTTATTTATTTTTGTCGACTTGGATGCCTTCAGTCTTTAAAGATGTTATTGGTCCACAATGCAGATGTAAACCATGTTGGGAATATGGGAATGACTGCGCTACATCACATCATTAGTTTGAAAAGTAAATAATTTAACAAAACAAAGTTTCTCCTTTTTAATGCATACATTTAAGCTATTCCAATCACTTGACCATTTTTGTCTGTCAAGGTATTAGGTATTTTCAACATTAGTACAGAATCGGTAAATAGGAAAATTTGTACTAAAGGTACATTTTAACATTTAACAATCTTCACCAATGACCGAAACTGTATTTAAATATTATACTGCTATATTTTTTTAACCAACTTCAGATGTTTTATTTAGTTAACAGTTGTTTTTTTTAATATAAAAATGAGATTAATAATTTTTCAGTGACAACTTATCTTACCTGGATTATATATAAACCGTATCACGTATATATAATATGAAATATGTTTACTCACTCTTTTAGTTGTGAACAATCAATATGTGAAGGAAACATCACACACAAAAAAAAAGGTGTACAGTCCATCTGTAGGCAGATGACTTTAAACTAGACGCGAAGATATCAATCGCCTTTATATCGGCGTCACACATTGGCGTATAGACCAGACGTACATAGAAAATTGACGACATCCGTATACGTTAGGTGCACTCAAGAGAAACCCTAACAAATCGTTAAATGAGCAATGCACAAGTTTGAAGTACGTCGAAATGCAAATGTATACGCTTGTTGAACGCTGTAACTCAAGGACATTTTTATGCTGCATAAAACTTTCATCTAGCTCAAGCGTTTGTCAAGCGTACAACTGTTTGCTACACGCACGTACTACATACGTTTCAGGCGCGTTGAACAACGCTACAGGTACGTTCGAGACACGTTTAGGGCACAGTGGATGCGCCTTAAGATCTTTCGTATTTTACATGGACGTATGCGGGGCATGTTTGTAACATACGCCTGGCGTAGTTTCGGCGCTTTTGAACATATAAAACGCACCCGTGGCGTATCAAAAACGTTTTCTGACATTCAACGAAACTTGCTTTGACATTGATAGGTTGCATTTTTGTAAATATAGACAATGCAATTTCCCATAGGAACTCCTTTTACGGCTAAAACTGTACCACTTTTATTATGAAGTTTCGAAAAAAATTATTTCCTAGAATAGAAATCTCATATGCACTACTATTTTTTTTTCAAAGGTCAAAATATACGGCTGTGCGGCACATTTTCAACATTTATATGCCCCGAACTTCTAAGAGTTTAACGTTCTGTACTACCCCAACATCTACTTTTGGTCTCCTTCAGAATTCAAGACTACTGCAATTTTTTTCTACTTATACTGGTAACATTCCCAAGTTATGTCTCAATGAGATGAAATATAGAGATCATATCTGGGAACCAGTACATACATAAAACAATTTATTTTTGAATATTATATATCTACCCAAAAGAGGCGTGGCTTGGTAAACAGCTGTATTTACAAACTGCAACCTATTTTGGCATACCGGTATGTCCTGTGAATTAACAAGACAAAGTGTATCCATAAGCAGTTCAAACACCCCATAATTGCCCGTCCCAGTCACGCCGAAAGCACGGATCATCGTCCCAGGTACGACCGGTACGCGTCTCAAATACGTTCATATTGTTTAATTCACCGGTTATCTGCTCGCAAATATTTTTCAGACTATGAGCATGCTGTTCCCTTATTTGATTGTTTGCTTGCTGCAAGTCCACGGTTAGACATTTCTGATAGTTTTGATGAGACAGTTCTGAAAAGTGCATTTAAAATCCTGTGTGGAATGGGTACATCAGAATGGAATTATTATGATGCCAGCTTAAGAGTTCGTAGACATAACTATGTAAGCACATACATCCAGAAAATGTTAAAGGCTGGTGCGACTCCTGATCCAAATGATTTGAATGATGCATTACGTGTGTTTGCCATGAGGAACGATTTCAGAGGACTTGAATGTCTTATACGTCACGGAGGGGACTACCGTAAAACAGACGAAAATGGAAAGTCCATTTTACATTTGTGTTGGTTAGAATGTAAGTATTCTACATATTAAAGGAGTTACACTTTTATAATTCTTATATGATTTGATTATTATGGAAAACGTTTAAATGATTGGTCGAGACGGCTTCCGGTAGTGGCTCTTGACGTTGTTTATTTTTCGATAGACGACGTTGACCGTACTAATTTTTGTAACCAATGTTAACAAGATGGCAGCGATAATAAAACATCTGAATCGACGGTTGAAAACATTTTTTTCACTTCGCTTCGATCGTTAAATTAATTAATAAACACAAAACATTAATGCGATTTTGTATATTTTATTATTTTATCAAAAATTTCATGGAGTATATATGTTTTCGTTCACAAACAAATATATTCATGCGTCAGGTAAATTCCATGCAACAAATATATAACTTACGTGTGATACACGTTACATGTACGAGTCTGGAAAAATAAATTCCTAATCTCCAATTTTTTTAAATTATAAGAATAAAACGCCTTTTTAAAGGACTTATTTGGTGTATTAACTCGACCAAGTCACTCATAAACATGTTATTAATGATCTGAGAGCGATTAAGCTCCCTACAACTTTTTCCTCTAGTTTTCTTTGAATCTTTTTGTAAAATATTTTATTTTCATATTTCAATGAGAGAGCCATGCCACCTTTTCTTAAATTTCTTCCATTTACAGAGCCATATTTGGAAATTGATGAGCAAAGGAAAATTTGAATAATTCAGATGTCATACAGTTATGTGTTTGCTTTAATCTATTTAATGCTAATGATGCATCATTTTCCATATACTTACCATGATGGACATAAGGAAACTGACTTAATTTGTATATGTATTAGTATACTTTTCGCGACATCAAACGGTGACATATCGGGAAAAAGATGCATTTTTCGACTGTTTTTTATGCTTTAAACTGATTTAACTTGTAAACGAGTACATGGACCCCTCTTTTTTAAAATGGCATTAGGTTTGATTATGTATGAAGATTATTTGTACCAATTTTAATGAAAAAGTCTATATGGATTTTTTTTTAAATTTGATAAATATACTGCAAAAAATGCCGTTAATTTCCTAAAATCTTGAAACTTTGTTAAAAAATATTTATTTCCATAGAACTGTTGTACATATTAAGAGCATATTCATGTAAAGAAGATTTTCATAATGTTTTTACAAAAGTCCGCTTGTGTTTATCTGTTGAAATAAAAAAGAGTTAGGTGTGTCTATCCAAAAAAACGAAATGTAGAGTAAATGTCTAAAATTTCGACCCCTTTTATCTCTTAAAGTAGCACATGAAGGTATATTTTTTATTACATATTTGAATTGCTTAGGTGAAAAATAGCTTGTATGAAAATTTTCGTAAAAAAATCATTATGGGATCGAAACTGTATCGTATGCCCTTAAAGCTTGTAAACAGACAAACAAGGGTGACATGTAAAGGGACATATTCACTGTGAAACTGGACTTTAAAACTTTACTCATGCCAAGTATTTATTTATTAGAAACAAAGATAAATTCTGCACAGTTATTTGAAATATGCCAATTTAGCAAAGAGCAATATTTTAAAACAATGATAGTATACCATTTTATCTTAATGATCCTTATGCGGTAGTTTGTATGTAAGTGAATAATGTAAACATGCACGAGCGTACTTTTTCAAATGATATAAGTTAATAATGATACCATCAGAGAATACAGCTTCATTATGTATTATACAAAAATTGAAAATGTATCACCAATTAGATATGAATAGATAAATTGGCACAGTGTAGATACCATCATTTACATTTACATTGGAATTTGATGCGACTGTCATACAAGTGAGAGGTTTAGCTAGATATAAAACCAGGTTCAATCCACTATTTTCTATATAAAAATATGCCTGTACCAACTCAGGAATATGACAGTTGTTATCCATTCGTTTGATGTGTTTGAGCTTTTGATTTTGCCATTTGATTAGGGACTTTCCGTTTTGAATTTTCCTCGGAGTATTTTTGTGATTTTACTTTTTACATAAAGGTTCGTTATCACCAAATAAATCATACATGTACATTCAAAAATCTATTCCATTGCTTCTCGTGTTAAGTTGCTCTTTTTTATAGTCGACACTATGCATATCCATTCGAATGTGTATTTTCTGGTGTGATTATTGAGACGTTGTTTATAAAAGGGCTCGATATGTGCTATATCTTTGCTCGTTGTACAAGTTTGCACATGAATTCATTTATTGTTATATTTTTCTAGCTTTAGACGGTGCATTGGAGTTTTTACAGTTCTTTGTTGATACCGGATGTTTAATGAATAATATTGAATCGGTGAAAAATTCAATAATGTTGTCATTGTTGTCCGGAGACACACATGCTAATGGGATTACAGAACGGGATGATAAAATAAAAGATATAGTTTCGTTTTTAATCAAAAATGGAGCATGCAGAGGGAAAAATAAAGACGGAAATGGGCCACTTCACATAGCTGCTAAGAATGGCTACCTGGCGACTATAGAAGTACTTTTGCAATTCGGCAAGGATTCAGTATTTGACCACAACGAAGCTGGAGATACAGCTATTCATGTTTGTCTGAAAAATCGTAAGTAAACGAAAATTGCAGATTGAATGAAAAATAGAAATACATTAGACTTAGATATTGTCTTTTGATTTCACAATTGGTGGTAAATGCATTTTCGACAATTCAATATTTGTATGTAATCGTCGACAGTATACTGATTAAAATCCAACTCGTTTTCTGGTAAGGATGATTGCGGTTATTGTCAAAACTTTCTAAGGTAGTTTACTACGAACAATAATGAACAACACACTATTGATTACTTTAAAAAATCTCTTTAAAAAATAGAGAGATGCGATTGATCTCATAGGAATTTTCACACTCAAAAGTAGAAAATAAAATTAGTATGTTATGGAAAAAAACGAAAACGTCAAAAACCAAATGATGACCTATAGCTGTTAATTCTGTGTCATTATTTCTCTTGTGGAGAGTTGTCTCATTGACAATCATACCACATCTTCTTTTTTATATCAGTACACAAATACAACATATAATATAAAAACTGATTAACACGAACCCACCAAAAACTGGGGGTGATTACAGGTGCCTCATTGTCTCATTGACAATCATACCACATCTTCTTTTTTATATCAGTACACAAATACAACATATAATATAAAAACTGATTAACACGAACCCACCAAAAACTGGGGGTGATTACAGGTGCTCTAGAAGGATAATTATATCGCTATATATGTCACCCGTCGTGTTTCTCCTATATAATGCGTTGATAAGATATACCAACTGATATGGCATCACACAAAAGTGGATTGGTAGTCGACTCATACATGTATCATAATCTAATAAGTAAATTATCGGTCATGTCCATTTTCTAATCCTGAAACCTAACTCAGTGTGAAATTTTAAAATGGGAACGTTTTATATGTAGCAATACTGTCATTAAGAATTTAAACAGCACAAAAACAATACTACAAAAGAAAAGCAAGAGCATAATAAATCCCTTTAGAATAAAACTTGAGGTGATCTAAAGTGCTCCGGAAGATAATAGAAATCATTTCCCATCTTCATAAGCAAAGCAAAACTTATAATGTGCTCTTTCCGTAGCAATTGCGCGGAAGGTTTGACGTGTGTGTCAGTCAAAAACCGTCCATTGTTATTAAGCAAGATTAAAGCATTGTTCCATATGAAGAATATGTAGACAAAACGCGCGTCTGGCGCAAATAGAAATTTTCAATCCTGGTATCTATGATGAGTATATTTACACAGTTGAACAAAATTGCTGCTGTTGCGTTACCTATTACATCGTTGTCAATATAACACTATTTTATGCGACTATCATACAAGTAAGAGTTTGAGATCGCTATAAAACCTGGTTTCACCCACCATTTTCTACAGAAGAAAATGTCTGCACCAAGTCAGGAATATGACAATTGTTATCCATTCGTTTGTAGTTTAGAAATTTTGATTTGCTTAGGAACTTTCCGTTTAGCATTTCGTCAGAGTTTGGTACTTTTGTTATTTTATTTTTTATTATTCTCTTGATAGAGAATTGCTGATAAGAAGAAGCTATTGAACCAAGGTAATAAATTGGTAAAGTCTAAGTCATTCCTTCAATAGTTTTACGGACGCCCTCACGAGTTAAATAGTCGTTATATATTTAGATATCTGTTCTTCAGATGAACACGGCTATTTTTCAACTTTCTCGATCGCAACATCATCGAATGGGATTAATCACTGAATTTGTACTTGCTATGATCAATATTGATATGCTTCAGGAAACGTTGATCATTTTGGAGCACGTTTTTTGTCGTTGTTTTGTCATAATAGCATTGTCTAGGTCTCTTCCACATTAGGTTGTAGTATCAGCTTGTTGTCGTTTGCCTCTTTTAGCCACATACACATTTACGGTTTTGACTACAGAAACGACATTTGCTACTTTACATACCGTGTTCGTTTTCAGACAGTTTTTTTTAATAAAATAGTACCGTTTTTAACTCTTAACTTACGTAATTGTTTCATGTCAAAATGAGACTGTCGGAATACCTTTTCGAAAAAAAAAAAACAATGTTACAAATGTCGTGAAAAACATTTTTATTTGACCACTGCCAAGATAAAATCTTACACATCCTTCCCTTCTGTGATAATCTTTGGAATAATTCGATAAATGTCTAAACAAGAAGTTAAAGAATTTAGAATTGTATAGCATTGCTAATATTTATGAAAACTTAAGGAAACAAATCAATTTTTAACCTCCGAATAAGCGTATTTATTAGTTGCTGCGTAGGAGTTAAACAACAATATCTGCCTCATGATAAAATTGGTTCATTCGTCTTGTTTTGTGTTGATGATTGTATTTTTTTTAACTTTATGTTAATGATCTTTAATTTCTGTACTTAGCGCTAGTTCAATTTCCGTTTTTGTTTTAGATTTTCTCTATTTATTGCAGTTTTGCATTAAATGTATATTTAAGCCATTAAGTTAGGATGATAGAGTGTTCCCGGGTATCGATGAACCTGGAGAACATAAATGGCATGTTCTGAGAATTAAATATATTAACATGTCTTTTGATTAAATCATATTCTCAAGTATTTTATATGACATTACCTTAAAGAATAATACACAAACCTCAAGTACACGCAAAGCAGTTTGTGCTGATTTCAACCAACAAAATTGTCCATAGTGTGGTGGTTTTAGGCGTAAATATTGCACGAAACGTCCTTAAATTTAAGAGTCTTTTGCTATTTATGCATCATCAGCCATTAAAATTTACACTCCTTCAAACTTTCACAATCAAAAATAAAACACTATCGGTTAACATTACCGATCAAATGACTATGATGGTATCTTAATATTTAAGACCGCGAAAACATGTTATTTGTGTAGTTTTAATTTCAGTCGCTTGAATGAGTGACAGGACATCAATATATTTTTATGCGAAATTGTATTTTGTTGTCATTAAAAAGTCGAATTCAAACACTTACGGAAAGTTTGTGATTTTTTTTTTTCTTCAGCAAAGGTGAATGTATGTGACATTATCGAAACCATGCTAGAAAATCAAACCTCAAACCAGCTGTGTCAAAATTTACATGGGGAATCTCTATTGTACCTTGCTACGATTGTTTGGCGAAGGCAACTAATCGACATTTCTTGGAAAAAACAATTGATCGACGTTTCTACGATAACGTCGCAGTTGGTAGCAACATTACTCAGGAATGGGGTTAATCCTAATGATCACACCCAAGACCAAATACCTTTACTGTCTGCTTTGGAAGCCAGAGATATCCAGACATCGACTCTCCTATTAGAAGCTGGTGCAAATATCAATGCAACAAATTATGAAGGAATTTCAGGACTCCATACTATTTTTGGACTGAATAGTAAAAAAGGTAAGTATAAGTCTAACGGTTTAAACTGCGCATTTGATGAAGATAAAATATACGAACAAGATAATATTAAATCGTATAGACAATTATTTCGGCAAAAATAAATGATCGTCTTCAGTGTCAGTCCCTTTCAAAATTTGATAAACAATGATTTTTTTGTGTGTTAAAACGAGATAACTCACTCATACAGATACTTGTGTATGTTGTCCAATTGGAAAAGTCAGCACTAAGCGGGCGTCGCGGTGTACGTGTTCATACCCATACTTAAGAAGTGTACGGCTATCTTTGACATTCGAATACTGCTAAAAAATAATCTCAAATATATTGTCTACAAAATTATTAAACTCATCACAGATACCCGGATTAAAATTTTTTACGCCAGATGCGCGTTTCGTCTTCAAAAGACACATCGGTGACGCTTGAATCAAACATTTAAAAAACGTTACATAAAATACCAAAAATTCCGATAGTTTATGTCATGTACAGCTAAGGTACTCTATTCCATGAGTTAAAAATCCTTAGTATTTCGAAAAATTATAAAAGTTATAAAAAGATTTATTTATAATTATGGCCATGTGAATGATAATTCATTTCAACACACAAGTGCTGACTACTGGACTGGTTATAACCTTTTCGAGAAAATACTGCCAGCAGTGATGTCGACCCAGTAAAAATATATAGTACTTTGTATTGGAAGTGCTTTACCTGTTGTCCTTTGTATTGGAAGTGCTCTACCTGTTGGCTTTTTTTTTTAATTTTAAACCGTGAACTGAACGTCAATATATCTACTATCAACTAAAATAACTTGTTGATTTTTTGTTTTTATTTTATTGTATGTTTGTTTAGATTATTCAATTTAATCATGTTGTATATCTATGATATATGTGTATTCAATTTTGACATTATTGGCACCTTAAACAATTTTGTCTGTTTGGGTTGCACATACAATTTTGTCATTATAACGAAACTACAATGTATATACAGCTTTTATACTAATGGGAGGTTCAGCTAGATATGAAACCAAGTTAAACCCATCAAAATATACTTCGGTGTCGGTATTTTTTATGTTATATTTTTGATTTCTTTTGACCATGTTCAATGATTAATGATCAATGTCTCGCTTTCATACAAATATTCACAACAATAAAGACATCTTAACAGAAGTTTTTTTCTTCCTCAATAAGTTCGTACATATAGCTATGGTCATCATTTAGTTTGTGTTGAAAAATATTAAAATACTTCACTAATTTCCATTTGTGTTCTATTTTACTTTCATTGTTGAATTCAAAGACTTCTTCTTTGCGTAAAAAAATGCAAGATGAAATCTGAAATTAAGGAACTTATATGATATCGCAATACGTTGATATTAGTTGACTATCTTGAACTATTCTTTTCAGTGTATTCAGTTTAACTCGAATGAAATATATGGATGTTTTATTCTAGGTTTTTTTTTTTCAGAAAACGACCTTTGTCTTGCACAGCTTCTGTTGGAACATGGAATAAATGTTAATTTGGTAGATAAAGATGGAAGATCTGGTTTATTTTTCTTGGTTATAAAGCACCAGCAAAATTATCACAGTTACTGCCACTCAGATGGTAACTCCTTTGAGGACGTTTTCAACGTTCTTTTAAAGCATGGCGCTGATCTAAATATTTGTGACAATCTAAACGAGACAGCTCTAAGCTCTTACATTAATTCTGGTTAGTGAATTTTTTTGTTCATATTATTGAACGTCAGTTTACAAGATTTAATGTTACAAGTCTTATTTTAAAGAATAATATGTCAAAAGAATTTGTACGATAAGGTTATTTTTTGTCTCTTAAATTGGAAAATAACAAAAGCATCATACATCTTTGAAATGACATACTTCATGCTCATAAGATCATAGTCTGTCCATTAAAGCAATACGCAGAGTTTTATTTTTAGCCTCATATATTTACATACGGGTTCACACTTCTTGGTTTTCAAGAAAATGGGGGACAAAATATCAAATTGACTCATGTTTAGCTTATCTGAAAAAAAAGTTAAAGTGTGCTTTTTCATCTCTTGGTGTCTGTCGTCTTCCATCGTTCGATTTTTTTTTTTACCAAAATCTACTTGGTCTTGAAACCAAATTTGTCCATACTCATAATTGTGGTATTTATTTAAAAATGAACTGATGCATATCATAGGGAGACAATACATTTTCGCCTATTATATTGATACATCTTAAAGATAGAAAGAAACTTTAAATTGATAGCATGACAAGCAAAGACAAGATATAAAAATGAGACAAATGCCTAACATATCATGACGACGCCTTATAGAAGTAATTGGCATTAACTCATATTCTGTAAACAGCGAAAATGATCGGCAATACTGTCTCTGTACCTTGGTCAACATAGCCGAATTTGTAAGTCCACTTACAACAGTGGTTGGCCTTAAAGCTATATGAGATAGAGATCATTTGAAAACAGAAAGCATATAAGCAATACAAGATAGACAAAAAGAAAAAAGAGAGATGATATTTATGGAAATGGTTTTTTTTTAGATGCCTTATACACAAATGGTAACGTTGGTAAATCTTATTTTTAATAGAGTTACACGTTGGTTCATACTTATATTGGCCAACAGTAATACTGGCTTAAAAATTGAGACTCTGTTTCTGTCCGGTTTACAGATTTTCGTTGTAATATAGGCATGAACTTTGTAACTTAATGAGAAATGTACTTGTTGTTATAACATTTCTTTGGTATGCCAGCAGGTCTAGGTCTTATTGTTGACATTTTCAACTTTAATGTGGTTACGAGGGCTTTTTTGCTCTATGGAATTTTAGATAAACCAATTTTTAAAATCATAAATTACAAAAACTCGTTACGATTATAATATATAAACAAACCGTGGCAATAATGTTCGTCATTGTCTTCCTGGAGTCTTAGTACAAATTAACAAGGAATAGAAGTTCTCGAGAAATTGCAGTTTAAACGTAGTTTCAAACGATATGTATGTACTGTATTTAGAAATAACGACGTTGCCATGAACATGCTATAACTTTTACTTCAGGTTGCAATTCTGTAAATATAGACAATGCAATTTCCCATAGGAACTCCCTTTGCGGCTAAAACTGTGACACTTTTACTGTGAAGTTTCGCGAAAAATAATATCCTAGAACGGAAAGGTTATATGCACTACTATTTTATTCAAAGGTCAAAATATAGGGCTGTGCGGCATATTTTCAACATTTATATGCCCTGAACTTCTAAGAGTTTAAACTTATACTAAAACTCTATACTACCCTTACCTCCATTTTTGGACCTCCTAAGAATTGAAATTTAGGCGCTACCAATATTTTTCTATACTGGTTACATTCCCAAGTGATGTCTCTATGAAATGAAACACAGAGATCATAAATGGGAACCAGTACGTTAACAAATTAACATATCTATGAATATTATATATCTCCCCAAAAGAGGCGTGGTTTTAGAAACAGCTGTATTTACAAAGTGCAACCTATAATTGCCAGTTGTTATTATCAGTAATACACTATCTTCAAAATCACAATTAAATCAACATGACTACTAGTTATTGTTTGTTAATAACGTATTTCAAAACATATAACCATTTATTTTCTATTTGAAACTATTTTAAAGGACAGGAATCATAGATGACAGCAATTAGCAATAATTACAAGATTTATAAAATAGTACATACATTGTATGATAGTAGCTATAAATCGAATATTTTAGTAGAAAATTGCATTAACAAAATAACAGTATGTTTCATGAATATGTTCACCTGTAGCTACATTAATCTATTGAGTAATTGTGTTTCTTTCTTCAACAGAAACAGTTTTAGACATAGCGAATGTTTTGTTGAAAAGCGGAGCGGACCCAAAACTTGGATACTGTCTTCAAAATTATATTCAGAATTATAGAAATATCGACTCCTGGATTTCTTTTATACATTCCCTGCTGCAGAAGGGTGCTGATCCGAATAAACGTAAAGCAAACGGGTCTAACTTAATTGACTGTGTTTGGTATCAAGACAGCCGTCTTGTTGAAGAGATAATAAATTATGGAGCTGATGTCAATTTTGCTGATGACATGAAGAAAACAGCTTTACATTATGCTTGTGCAAAAGGTAAGAAAGTCATGTTATTTCTGAAACTCAAAACGTTAAATTTTATTTGGTGTATTCGATTTCTCAAACTATGGATTTTTAGTATTTACAAGTGAGTGCAGTCATAACCTGTACGAGTATTAACTTGTGTAAGACTTGTTGACTGCTTTCCAGTTACCTTAGGCAATTTTAAATGTTCAAGAACGTTAATTTATTGGTAGATCAGACCAATGTCAGTTTTTTGAAAACTACTACAGACTTATTGACCAGACTTGTAGACAGGTTTACTTTTGAGCAGTCATGAGGACATGTCTGCTCCAGACCAGATATGTGAAAAGTTCTGCTTTAGACCAGGCCTGAGAACAGGTCAGCTCCCTGTTGAAATTTTTTTTTTACATACCTGACCTCTGATTATTAAAACGATAATGGTAATGTTCAATTATCTACATGATCTAGTACAGTGAAACGTAAAATATGAAAAATACGAACTCCGGGGAAAATTCAGAAAAAGGAAGGTTCTAATCAAATGGCGAATACCGTGTCGGAGTTTTGTCTGTCGGCATTTTTTTTTTCGCGATTTGATGACATAATTGGCAGGTTAAATTTTCACTGTGTTTCCTCTGAATGACAAAATACAATAGAAAAAAATCACTGTATTGAGTTGTTACATATATAAACAACGTAAACTTGAGTCACTGACAGTGAATCGATAACAAATAAATACCAGTACTGATGCACTTGATTAATGGATTATCACAACACTCAAGTGATCAGCGCTAATTACCAAAACATTTTTGAATATGTCACTGATTGCTGTGTTGTCAAAAGGTATAACTTGTATAATAAGTCAATTTGATAATTATGAAAACAGAGATGTTAATTAATATTGCTCACTTTTGTGATCTGCAAATCAATACAAAAAAACTGCTTAAAAGATAATGCAATCGCCTTATTCTATACATGTTATAATGCATCGTTGTTAGTTTAGGTACGGTGCAGTCCGTTGGGTCCGTGTATATAAGACTTCTGCTCACGTTTGGGCTTACTCATAAAACATATAATTTATTAAACTTTTGTGAACAAATTCATCATGACATACTTCAGATTAATTAAAGCTTCTTTAGGAATGACTTTACCTTTAAGATTTTTTGGTATGTGTGTCCCAAAATAGAGAAAGCCCTATTTCGACAATTTTACAAATGTCCAGTGATTTCGCGCATGCTATCAAAATATAGTTCATATTGAATAAAGGAAATATTTGCACAATCGAATGCTGTTCACTTTGAACCAGACAGACTGCTAATGATGTTGACTAATACTATTCAAATTTTGATAACATTTATGCTCGTGCTTGTTCAGACTATACTGGCTTCATATACAGGAGTGTTCTCCTTACGCAGAAACTGCTTCAACAGAGTTAAGAGGAGGAAAGATTAAAAATGACTCTCCGTAAATTTTATGGACACCATCCCGAATTTATTGATCAATATGTGTCGATGGGTCTAAACTTATTAATTACATTTCTACCATGTCTACGATTGTGGTTTGACAACTATGTCGCCTGTCTGCTAAGTACCTATTCACGAATATGACTGTAATACCGAGTGTGAATTTGCATTTCTTAACGACGTGTCTCTGTATTTTGTACATCCAACTTTCATTTATTTGTTTTTTATGTTTCTGTTAGGTTTCAGTTTGATAATGTGTTATGTCTTATCGTTTGTAGTCCAAATATTTATAAAATTGCCTTTCAATACCATCATTGTCGTGAAAATTGTTTTGACTGCTTTTGTGAAAATAATTGTATAAAGATTGTGGTGTCTGTCGTTAATGGCAGATGTTCTTTGTAGTTCTGCGGTCTGCATGTTTTGTTGACCATTATATTATTACTTTGCGCATTTCTTTGTGACGAGGGTTCTTCCGTGTATTTGTTCTGTATTTCTGTTACGTAGTGTTGTCCTTTTAGCAATATAATTTTAAACATTGCCAATTTAAACGGGATGTTTGGCTAGCCGAAAAAACAGATTCAACCCGCCATATTTTTCTTAAAATGTACCAAGTCAGGAATATGACAGATGTTACCGAATAGTTCGTTTCTATGTTTCACGACAATGATGGTATTGGAAGGCAATTTTATAAATATTTGGACTACAAACGATAAGACATAATTACTAGATCATGTAGATAATTACTAGATCATGTAGATAATGTATGTTGGCGTTTGTTTCTGTTGCACTTCAGTGGTCCTGTTGTTCCTTTTTTTTACTCTTATAGTTTCCCTCGGATTAAGTTTGTTACCTGGATTTGTTTTTCCTTCAATCAATTTATGACTTTTGAACACCGGTATACTACTGTAGCCTTTATTTATCATTAAATTTTAGTAAATGATATCGCAATTCTTTATTAATATTTCTTATTTATTGTTTTGGACAAATTTTAATCAATTTCCATAATTTAACAGCGTGTATATCCGTGTCCTTTATCAGCCATTGATAAACAATGTACTGTAAGTTCAACTTCTTCTATAAAGGTAAATATAGCAGGACATATATTCTAAGATCTTTAACATCTCTTGTGTCACTTAGCCTTCCATGAAGAGTGCTTTCGGGAGGTCTATACATTCGGACTGCCACTTTTATTGTTTGCCAATGAAGTTTGACATCATCATAATCGAGTTAGAGATTGCATGTTCGTTACGTAAGTAAGTGCGTCACTGTTTGTGGTGTCTGTCGTTAATGGCAGATGTTCTTTGTAGTTCTGCGGTCTGCATGTTTTGTTGACCATTATATTATTACTTTGCGCGTTTCTTTGTGACGAGGGTTCTTCCTTGTGTTTGTTCTGTATTTCTGTTACGTAGTGTTGTCCTTTTAGCAATATAATTTTAAACATTGCCAATTTTAACGGGATGTTTGGCTAGCCGAAAAAACAGATTCAACCCGCCATATTTTTCTTAAAATGTACCAAGTCAGGAATATGACAGATGTTACCGAATAGTTCGTTTCTATGTATGTTGGCGTTTGTTTTTGTTGCACTTCAGTGGTCCTGTTGTTCCTTTGTTTTACTCTTATAGTTTCCCTCGGATTAAGTTTGTTACCCGGATTTGTTTTTCCTTCAATCAATTTATGACTTTTGAACACCGGTATACCACTGTAGCCTTTATTTTTCATTAATTAAAATAAATTTTAGTAAATGATGTCGCAATACTTTATTAATATTTCTTAATTGTTTTGGACAAATTTTAATCAATTTCCATAATTTAACAGCGTGTATATCCGTGTCCTTTATCAGCCATTAATAAACAATGTACTGTAAGTTCAACTTCTTCTATAAGAGTAAATATAGCAGGATATATATTCTTAGATCTTTAACATCTCCTGTGTCACTTAGCCTTCCATGAAGAGTGCTTTCGGGAGGTCTATACATTCGGACTGCCCCTTTTATTGTTTGCCAATGAAGTTTGACATCATCATAATCCTCTTTTAACATTTCCACAGAATAATCTTATCTCTGCTCTTTCCGTACTATGACCTGAAAATAATTTGTTATATATTTATTTTACATATTACAATTCTTATTTCTGTTTAAATTTATATGTATTTCACATTCAAAATATTTATTATTTTCATCTATTTAATGGGATAAATAACTTTACATGAATAACCGATTAGATGATATCTACAATAAATCCAATACTTTAAAAAAAATAAAAGCAAATCAAAAACCAGGATGTGTTTTCTGAATCACGTCGAATGCAGACGACATTGTGTTGCTCAATGTTCCTCAATTTTTGACGTTTTTACCCATAATGTCTGTTTAATAAGTTCAACCATCGTTGTCAATATACTGGAATTTTATGCGAATGTCATGCAAGTGAGAGGCTAAAAAGACAGTTGTTATCCATTCGTTTGATGTGTTTGAGCTTCTGATTTTGCCATTCGACTAGGGACTTTCCGTTTTGAATTTTCCTTGTATATTTTATTTTTTTTTTTTTTTTGTAACGATTGCGGATCCACGGTTTATATCCGTAATCTGTATCAGTTGGTAACTTAGTCTTACGTTGATATTTCTATCATTGGCAGTCAAACTCGACTCGTATTCATATATATATATATATATATATGCTTTTTTATAACTCACTTGCAATCCCAAGCCAGGAAGGCAGCACTTATATGAAATCATGAAATATCATTAATACAGCCATTTTTAATCATTTTATTGTTTATAAATCATTAATGAATGAAATATACAAAGGACTTTCTACTCTCAGGCATAGTTCCCCTGGAAATTTTGTTCTTAGCTGAGTGTAATCTTTTACAAAATCTTCTCCTCTAAAACTACATATACAAATTCAACCAAACTTGGCAACAATCATCATTAGGGTATCTAGTTTAAAAAAACGTGTCCAACGACTAGTACTCCGCCTGCCAAACAACATGGTCGACATGGCTAAAAATAGAACATAGGGTTAAAATGCAGTTGTTGGCTTATATCTCTGAAACTAAAGCATTTCAAGCAAATACGACAGGGTTGAAATGTTCACCTGGTATAGATCTATCTGCCCTGTTATTTGGTTGCTGCCCCTGAATTAGTAATGTAAAGGAAATTTTCCAGTTTTTTGGTCTTATTCTTGAATGTTATTATAAATAGTGATAAACTGTAAACAGCAATAATGTTAGCAAAGTAAGATCTCCCCGTGAAGCTTATGCTATTTAATATATTTTTGTTTTCCCCTGATTTGTATTTGTTTAACTAATTTTTGAGATTTGAACAACTATTAACAACTGCCTCTCATTCAATCACTTTTAGAATATTATTAAACTCAGCCTATTTTGTCACAATTAGCGGAATGATGACGAGTTTCGATCGTAATTTCGTAAATTTTTATTTTGAAATATTACTTTTAGTATCATAATAAGGTTTAAAAACAATGTCCTGAATCATAATTTAAATGTGTCCTATATATTTTCATTTTCCGTTCAAAACTAGTTCCCTTGGTTACCTATACAAAATTTGTTATTTCGAGTTATAATAAACGTAGCGTTTGACAAAACTGTTTAATTTCTAACACAATGAACAGTATAAAGATATTAGAAGACGTGGTGAACCATAATATCTGAGTCAAGTTCGATTTTGACATATATGAAATAACTACCTCATCTCCATGAATTATGATTTGATATTATTTAGCTCTAAAGTATTATTACATTCATCTTTTTATTTTAATTTTAAGATGCATTAGTTAATTAAGCTTCCGGACTTGATATTACATATTACTATATAATTTTTGTTGCGTAATTCGAAACTTGTATAATATAGGTCAGTTAGAGGATAGATATGAAATGGCATCACTTCTCGTGAAATGTGGATCTAATTTAAATGCAGTGTCTACGACTGGGGAAAGACCTCTTGATGTTTTAGTGCAGCATATGATCAATGACATTAAAGGTCTCCAGATAAAAGAGGAAAAAGAAGAACAATACGGCTTTATAACGGTAGACGTGTCCTTATTGAATATACTTGTTTGTGGAGGTGCAGATTTAGGTCCTGTGTCACTTGAATCAATCGATCCAAAAACCAAAGATTTATCCGCTCGAGAAATGCAGTTGTGAGTATACTACTTTATTACTGTCTATCCTCATAGTTTATCAGGCTTACGTCAAAATTGTTAAAAGTTGTTGCTTACTAAAACTTTAATCTTAAAATAAAACTATTAAAATACCGTAAATTTCGTATATAAATTTCACCGTAAAGTGATCTGCATTTAAATGGGGATGAAGTTTGGTCATCTCATAATTGATGTTTTCTCTTTTTCTTATAATATTCAACAAATAGGGAACATTTTTTAATTTAAATTCTATAATTATGACATCCCTTTGGAAAAGGGGGACATATTGTTATTCTAACGAATTTACATACCACATTTTTTGTCCAGCTTAGTTCTCGGAGATGACTTGACAAACATTGATAAAACTGCACCATGATGACTATCCCCAAGTGCAGATGTGCACTTAGGGTTTGGAATTTTCAAGATAGCCGCTGTTACCAAAAAAACGGCTAAATGGTGAAAAACCGAAAAATGGTCCAAATTAAATGAAACTTTCAGAAATTATAACTCATCATTCGAAAATGTGCCATCCTTCTCAAGAACTTTAAAAATGGCTACTGTTGCCATGGAAACAGTTCAAACGTTAAAAGAACGAAAATAAATCCTTAATTAATTCATAGAAAATCGACCGTTACACATACCACCACCCCCAAACATAAACAGCTGTAACAATAGTATGAACTGTAGAATGGAGTGCCGTTGGAATTTATTAGATTGCTGCTGTGACCATGGAGAAAAGGCTAAAAGTGCTATATTGACCCATATGGGAAAAAACGTCATAGTAATAGTAACATTTTCTTACAAAATTTAAGCTCGATCCATGTTAAATGGTATTGAAATGTCATCTGTCTTTGAAATTTTTAAAATGGCTGCCGTTGCCATGGAAACAGAATAAAAAACATAAAACACCTAGCGATTTGAGGCACAATTCTGTAATCAAGAGGGTGTGCATACGATCAAATTCAAATCTGTGCTGCAAAACATCTGCTGAATATGCTAGAAGAAAACGAATATATAATTTAACGTGCTTCTATTCTATTCTAACCGTGCTTTGAAGAGGAAATCGCCACTGAGAGAGGGAGAAACACTAAGAGCATATATTATTGACATTTCTGCACTTGCATTAAATTACACGTCCGGGAATCAAACACGTGCTTAAATATGCACATTAGATGAAATCAATCAATGAACGTGTAATTAAATTGTACAAAATAAGATACATCTATCGTGTGATATGCGAGCTATTGAAAAACAAAATGAACAGTTATTTTGCCGCTCCGTCAATATATACACATGTTGTCTGTTCCAAGGTCCCCTCTAAAAAGACTATAAATGTGCTGCGCATCACGTGACGCCACGTTCTTCCTCGCGCGATGATCTAGTTTTAGATTAAAAAGAAATCCCAAACTGTGTATAGAACTCAATCTTATTCTACGGGAAGAAAAACAAAATATGCTTGAAATAGCAAATCTAGTTATATATTTGTGATTGCTTGATATAACAATGATTCGTAATCTTTATATTACAACATATTCTGCACAGGATGATCGTACCTTTCCTTTAATTCGTTTCCTATTCCCGATTTTTGATATATGGTTGATTATATATGGTCTTTACGTTTTGAATTTTCCTCACAGTTCGGTATTTTGATTTTACATTTTGTTTTTATATTGTGTCATAAATCAAACTCATTCGTTCATTGTATGTTTACTTGTTTTTGTTTAAATATCTGTTTAATCGAGTTAAGTCATTCAAATTGATATTTTATAGCGTGTCGTAGGTTAGGGTGAAGATTAGCGCCTGTTTAAACGTTTAAAATTGCTGTATTCTTATGCACATGTCCGAAGTCAGGAGCCTGTTGTTCAGTGGTTGTCGTTCATTGAACTGGTCCATAGGTGATTCTCATTTCTCGTTTTTGAAATAGATAAGACCATTGGTGTTCCTGCTTAAATTGTTTTACACTGGTAATTTTGGGGCACTGTGATTTTAGACAGAAATTAATTCACTGAATACACAACACGTCAGGTTAAAGTTGCTTCCAAGCGATTCATTTTATTTCATTTTAATATATTAAACTAATAAAAATACACAAACAATTCAATTTTCAAAGTGTTTTGTTCGATTGATTAATTCTTTAAGTTTATGAAATATTAGCATCATCCGACTGTTGAATTTCTTTGTACAATACAGTTGTTATGTTAATGTAAGGAACTGTTCCAATAGTGTATCTTCTTTCGAATTACATTATACTGTGGACGGTTAAGGAAAGTCATGAAAGGTAGTTTTTTTGTGATCACAGGAACACAGCGCTTTCGAGAAGATTTTTAAAAAAACACCACTACGTAGTTGGATTCTACCAAACTAGATGTTATATTTGTATTGGTACTTTGGATATATCAAGATATAATGAACGATATGTTCGAAGCTCCATATAAAATTTTGATAATAATGCATTCATTATTTTGAATTAAAAACATACAAAGTTAATCTTATTCACCTTTTTCAGACAAAGTCAAATTATCAATCGGCCAGTCCTGTTCAATTTGATAACTAATGGACTCTTCAAAACTGCAGAATATTTGATACGTAGTGGATGGGATGTGAAGAAGGAAGAATGGTTCGATGCCTTTGATGTCTCTAAGCGTACTCCTGAAAATGTCGAAATAAAGTACCGTGTCTATAAACGACATGATATTGAAACGAAAAAAGCAGAATTTCAATCATTCTTGGAGAAAATTGATAGAGGTCCAAAATCCTTAACAGATATATGCAGAAAAGCAATTCGACATCAACTCTTAATGGTTTCAAATGGTTCTGAGATTGAAACAAAAATTTCAGCACTTCCGCTTCCAGCAAAAATCAAACGTTTCATATGTTTGAAAGAATTTATGAACGACGACGAAATTATTCAGATTGAAAGGTATGCTTTTCGTATTATTACTTATAATAACATACTCACAGAAATAGTAGAGCATATATTTAATCGCTGTTTTGTACTTTTGCCTATCCGAAACAGATCATTTCCAGAAGATGACATAACTTCTCTTTACAAGAAAATCCTCCCAACCTTGAATAACTATCGCAAACTGTGAATTGCAATGGGATTAAGACATATTTGTTTTCTAAGAAATCATTCTAGTGTTACATGTATGATTCTTGGGATTATTTTTAAATGTAATAACTCTTTTAATTTGATATTTTATGATTGATTGGAACAGTACCTTATATGGACAACACGACGTGGTTTACATTCTGCTTAACCTCCCCGAGTACCTACGAAAGCCGCCGATTTTATATTGATGTACGTGTTACTTGTCCATTGATTTCAATATGTGAATTTCTTTTTTCTGTTGTGTGTCGTTCCACATATGGAGCAGGATCTGCTTACCCTTCCGGAGCACCTGAAATCTACCCCAGTTTTTGGTGGGGTTCGTGTTGCTGTTTTACCCCTATTTGTGACTTGTTTACCTATTGTGTCTGTTTGTTTTGTTCACAAATCGTTGTCAATATAATGGAATTTGATGCGACTGTCATACAAGTTAGAGGTTTAGCTAGCTTTAAAACCAGGTTTAATCTACCATTTTCTACATAAGAAAATGCCTGTACCAAGTCAGGAATATGACAGTTGTTATCCATTCGTTAGATGTGTTTGAGCTTTTGATTTTGCCATTTGATTAGGGACTTTCCTTTTTGAATTTTCCTCGGAGTTCAGTATTTTTTTTATTTTACTTTTTCCCCCATTCTGTTGTCAGTTTTGCGTTAACTGTTATGAGTATGAACATATTTTCCGCAAACTTTTTTCATATAGTTATGCAACATTACCTAATGTGGTCTCGAATAATGCATTTTCTCTTTAGCAAATTCAGCTGTAATATTTAATTATGATTTATAACAGTGATCTATCTTGTAGAACATTTTCTAAAAGCTTTATAGTAATGTTTTCATGTCATGTCGATATAATTATTAAACGGAGCCACACCAAGGGTTTTCATATCACACTTGAAAATATGTCATGGTGTTCTTTCTCAATCGCATTGTCAATCTTCCTTTGAAAAAATGTGATTTGTTAATATTTAGCTCACCGTGTCCTGAAGGACCCCATGTGAGCTTATGCCATTACTTGGCATCCGTCGTCCGTAGTCTGTCGTTGTCGTCATCCGTCGTCATCGTAAACTATTTCAAGAATTTCTCTTCTGAAACTTCTAGGCCAAATACTTTAAAACTTTGACTGAATGTTCCTTAGGGTATCTTGTTTATAAATTGTATCCGAAATTTTAAATCATCAACAAACATGGCCGTCATGGCTTAAAATAGAACCTAGGGGTAAAATGCAGTTTTTGGCTTATTTCTCAAAAACTAAAGCATTTAAAGCAAATGTTCAATAGATCAAGATCAATCAGCTGTGAAATTTTCAGACGAACCGAACAACCCATTGTTGGATTGCTGCCATTAATTGGTGATTTTAAGGAAATTTTGCAGTTTTTGGTTATTATCTTCAATATTATTATAGATAGAGAGAAATGCAGTAGAGAACAATAATGTTCAGATTAATGAGATCTACAAAAAAGTTGATATGACCAAAGTTTCATTTGACCCCTTAAGGAGTTATTGCTCTTCAAAGACATTTCTACACAATTTGTTCATTATGTTGTATAGTAATAGATGCCCATATAATTTTGTTCTTAAATTACTCCTATATTTGATTTTAAACATTATCTGTTTAGTAGGATCAACTATAAAAATTGGAGTATCTACACAGAGAAAAATCATGTTAGTTTTACCTACCTGATGTTTTTCATTTACTTTTCAAATCATAGCAATCCATGTTTTTATGATGACAGATACTTATTTAGATGTATATGAAATGAATTGTTGTCCTTGTAAATAATTCCTTTAATTGCTGTAACAGATAAAATCGAGACCGGTAATTTATTAATTTTTTTAGAAAAATAAAATTCATAATTATTTTCTTGTTTAAATTCATTGCAAACAAATGCTTGTGCGACAAATAAGAAATTTTACAAACATGATATCCTATAACTAATTAAGCTTGTGAAAGGTATTTGTCCTATTTTGAACACATTGCACAGTTTCCATCCCCTTATAAATATTAATTTGCCCCTTATGACAAATAAAAGTAATATAAGGAAGAGGGGTTAACATATTGCTAACACTTTCAGCAGGGGGAGGGTCATTAATTTTTTCATGGTCATTAAAACATTTTGCCGCAAACCCCGCTCTTCAGTCCGCTCTTCAGAGAGAGATTTAGGCGGGGTGTTGTGTACATTCTCAAATCTCAAGATGCTAGAGTATTTTTTCGGGTACGAAATAGATCGATGGAGAGATGAAAAAAAATAACATATAAATCCTAAATAGTATGGAGCTGTTGAAATACCCGATCATATAAAATAAATGTTCCTTACATGAAGGAAATCTTGCAATTTGATACAACTTCATCTTTTGTCAAAATTTATTATACGTCATCACATGTTCTTTGCACTAGGAATTAATATTAGTTATCAGTTAACATGTATTGTATGTATTCTGCAGTGTACAGCATTGTTTAAAATCAAGATTAAATGGTACTGCATTTTTTTTTCAGAATGGAATCGAGCAGGGTCAATCATGCCCAATATGATTCAGATGGCTTTTATGATGATTATTATAATGATTACTGTTATGATAGTAGTGATTCAGATTAGTAACAAAATAGAAAAGGTTTATATCATACCACATATAGCTGTGAAATGCGAAATTGTAGCAACTAATCTTTTGTGAAATTCAGTTTTATATACACCTTTATAACGGTAAATAATTTGGTGTCTTACTTTTATTCGTACTAAAATATGTATAATTATTTTTATGCTACTGTCTGTTCACTACACGTGAGAAGAAAAACATAATTGGATGTTTCCGTTCAACTATTCGTTATAACACACACAAATTAGGTCAGACTATATGCATTTATAGCTAATTATATGACATGAGTTTTGCTCATTTTTGAAAGCCGCGGGGTGATCTATAATGTTTCTTTCTATGTCATTTGGTCTCTGATGGAGAGTTGTCGCCTTGGCAACTATACCATAGTTTCTTATATTTATATTTTATATATAAGATTAGCACAAAATAGTTGCAATTTGTGATAAAAAGAAGTTTTTATTTTTGGTTAATATATAAATCATAGTTATTTTGTATTTTTCGACTATGTTAACATTTTTCATGATCCCGCCGTAGTGGAGGGAGGATAAATTGTTACCCTTGTCCTAACAGCCTCATTTATGTACAAAATAATGAACTAAAAACAATTATGTTACACAGCAACTAATGACAACCACTGAATTACAGGCTACTGACTTGCGATAGGCACATACATAATAAGACAGTCGTTAAAATCGTTTGAAGGCGCCATTACTCCACCTAACCTTAGACAGTGGTGTAACAGTACAACATAAGATGATAAAATTTGTCTCAATCAAATGATATTAAACTAATACAGAATGCTTATTAACACTAAACAAAAATCATGTTTGAATTTTATCGTTCTTGAGTTATGTCTTTTTATACCGTCTAATGCAAGCGGCGGGGGTATCAGCTGTGTCCAATTGATACATTCTCTAAATATTTTCACTATGTTAGAATAGTCTATATCCCAAAACGTAGTGTTTCTAATTCCGCATTGTACTGTATTGCTTCAAAATTAAATGTTCGTCAAATCCAGATATTAAAACGAGCGTCCTCATTATATTTAATATATTATAATATTAACACAAAATCATTATGTATTTTAATTTTAAATGATTCGCATATTTACAAATACGTGAATGTAATTTATTCATAGGAATTATTTCCTTGGTTTACACTTCCTTAGACAATATCGCCAAAACTACTTTCGGTCTCCTGTTTTATTTAGGTTTTTCCTTTCACGATAAGGAAAGACATTACCGTATTCCTTCTGATTATTATTAGGTCTTTCCACTTTTCCGTGGAAAGATCTATTGGTTTTCTTCTGATTATTATTAGGTCTTTCCACTTTTCTGTGGAAAGACCTATTGTATTTGTTCTGATTATTATTATTTTTTCTCCCGCAAAATTTAGTTATCGCGTAAAATTTTTGTTTCGCAATATTTCGCGAAGATATTTCTTATATAGTATCATACAGTTTATGCGCTTTTTATTTTCACCCATTCTAAAATTTATTTTGTAAGAGTTATCTTCCTATTCACTGTTTATCAAGTGTGTGCATCTCCTTCGTAACAAAAAAAGATATCGACAAAATTCTTTTTCTAAATTAATCGTTACATCCTCAGGAATTTTTGGCTAATTTGGATCGAAGCGATTCGATGAAATTTTAAAGGAGTTATCTTCCTTTACCAAATAAATTTGTCGGTATATTTTTTTAACTCATAAACCGTTAACCGTATAACCCTTGAATCTTTTTATTTGAGGTCCCTCGGTCCTAACTTAGAAAATGAGGTCAAGGTCAAAGGTCAAGGTCAAGTTCTCAGTTTTGACTTTTCCTTGTTTTTGCATTTCCTCAAACACTTTTAAAGATATATATGAAAGAACAAGTGCAAAATGTTCAAAATTTTGATTATGGCTTGTTATCACTTATTTTCAGAAATCTTTTAAGATAGCAACAAAATATGTTTACACAATTATTAGTTGCGACATGTGGTAACACGGAAATCTTAGTTGAAAGGGTACGCAGACATTTAATGGGAGTTTTCGCCCCTTTGATATCTAATATTAACTGAATGGTATTATTACTTATTAACAATATATAGTAGAGACCTAGAGTCTTTTGATTTGAGGTCCTTTTTTCATGACCTTGAAATTGGGGTCATGGTCAAATTTTGATTTTACGTTCTAGATTTTGACCTTTGCTTTAACTTTTAATGTATGCATGATAAAGCTATAGGACTTTGTGCAGTAAGTTGCAAGTCATATGACCTTATAAAAATCAACCGGAAATGACCTTTTGTAAACCGGAAGTAGCTATTTTTTGTACAAATTAAATGTAAAAGTACATAGAACCATATATTTTTGGAATCAGTGTCAAGTTAACTATCAAATGATACAGGAAGTGACATTTTTAAACCGGAAGTAACAAATTATCTCCCTTATTTCAGACAAAAAGTATAAAAACATATATTTTTAAATACAGCGTACAATAAGCTATCATTTTGCACTGGAAATGACATTTTCAACTTGATTTAAAATTTTCATGTCTAAGATATTGTTACGGGTGGAAAGACCTTCAATTGTTCGCTGAACAATTAGATTTTATACGACCGCAAACAAATTTTGCGGTCATATATTGGTATGACGTTGGCGTTGTATTCGTCGGCGTCGTCGTCGGCGTCGTCGTCCGAAGACACATTGGTTTTCGCACAATAACTTTAGTTTAAGTGAATGGATCTCTATGAAATTTTACCATAAGGTTCAATACCACAAAGGAAAGGTAATGATTGATTTTGGGGGTTATGGTACTAGCAGTTGAGGAATTAGGGGCTAAAAAGGGGCCAAAAATAAGCATTTTTGTCATTTCCAGTCAATAACTTGTGTGTTAAGGTATGGATCTCTCTGAAATTTTACCACAAGGTTCCATATCACAAAAGGAATGCTGGGATTGATTTTGGGGGTAATTGCTTCAAATTTTAGGAATTAATGGCCAAAAAAGGGGCAAAAAACAAGCATTTTTCTAGTTACATGACAATAACTTGTGTGTAAGTGTATGGATCTTTCTGAAATTGTACTACAAGGTTCCATATCACAAAGGGAAATTTGGAATTGAGTTTGGGGGTAATTGCCCAAAACATTTAGGAATAAGGGACCAAAAAGGGCTACAAATAAGCATTTTTCTAGTTTCATGACAATAACTTGTGTGTAAGTATATGGATCTCTCTGAAATTGTACTGCAAGGTACCATACCACAAAGGGAAGGCTGGGATTGATTTTGGGGGTAATTGCCCTAAACGTTTAGGAATAAGGGACTAAAAAGGGGCAAAAACAAGCATTTTTCTAGTTTTAGGACAATAACTTGTGTGTAAGTGTATGGATCTTTATGAAATTGTACTACAAGGTTTCATATCACAAAGGGAATGCTGGGTTTGAGTTGGGGGTAATTGCCCTGAACGTTAAGGAATTTGGGGTAAAAAAACAAGCATTTTTTTAGTTTCCAGACAATAACTTGTGTTCAAGTGTATGGATCTCTCTCAAATTGTACTGCAAGGTACCATACCACAAAGGGAAGGCTGGGATTGAGTTTGGGGGTGATGAATCATAAGGGGGTTCAAAAATTTGGGGGTCGGATTTTTTTTCCTATTTCTTTCTATTTGACATTTGTATCCCCTTTTACAATTAATTCGAGTTTCATACAAATATTGTTTCCTGAAAAATCAGGAAGATTATTTATGTAACAAATGGACGATATAATTGAAGTTCAATAATAATATGTCATGCCAAGCACTTTGAAAAATTGCAAATGCAAATGTTCAAAGATATATTCGAAATAAATACACTCCTATTTGTTTTTATTATTAGATATATAGTTTATTTGTACGTACTTTAAGATGGTGTAGAATGAAACAAGTATATAATACCAACAAAAAAACAAACAAATATTTTATTTGCCAATCACAGCGCCCAAAATGAGCAGAATAATTACAATATAATTTTCAAGCGTAAATAAAAAATTGGTTAAACAAAGTACATAACATGATTAATTTTGATTTAATTGATTGATATTAAACATCAAAATAAATGAAAATAGAAATGTGTAATGATAATAACATATGACATGACCAATCGTCTGTAACTCTGGACCCTTTATTGGACAGCACTTATAGCATACTAATAATTAATTAAATGTAAAAATATAACTGACGTAAATGCATATATGATCATATATATCTAACTTCATATGAAGAAATCTAATTCAATATTGTTTTCTTGTTTATATTTAAAACCTCTAGTAATTGACAAATCATTATCAAAATGTTTTTATCTTCATTTCCCATTAGCCAAATAAAAGATTTATTATCAGGTTTTGAAATATTTTTATCTTTACTAAATATTTTGCTTGAAGGGATTTCTTACATTAACCAAAGCTTTACATGTTAAAAGAAAAAGCGTCTCATCTTCTTTTTCCTCATTACAGAGTTTGCATATTCTATTTTCTAGTTTTATATTAAAGTAACGACCCTTTTCTATTTGACGTTTATGAGCTCCAATTCTAAATCTTGTTAAAACACATCTTTGAAGATATGGTAATTTCGATAATTATGGTTCAAAATTAAAGTTTGGTTTGAATAATCGAAGTTCCAAATTTATTTCCAGAGGTCTTATTTTGTCTTTTATCATTAAATAATTCTTTCTTCCATATATTGCTATACTTTAAATATAATTTCTTTTTCAGCATATGTTTAATGTTTGTTTAAGATGAGAGTACTTGATACTCTTGTAAATCAAGAAGTTTTAAGATGGCATTAATACAACTAGTCCAAGAATTCTTCCCATCTTTCGATAATATATTTGTTGTTGTTGGCATGTTACAGAATATCTTCTCCTATTTTCCATTTCTCCTAACAATAGGGGTCGTGCTTGATTTTTATATGAGGAAGACATAATCTTTCATTCAGTTTACTTGGGGTCTGGACCTGGCATATCAGTAATTGCTAGTAGTACTTTGTTAATTTATGTTACCATTATCATTTTGCTTAGTAGTAGTTTATTCTGTTACTTATTCTAACATCGGACTTCATTTAAATTGAGTTTTTTCTGTGCATATTGCTGTGTGTTTGCTTATTCTACATTTGTTAGAGGTATATAAGGGGAGGGTTGAGATCTCACAAAACATATTTTACCCCGCTGCATTTATGTGCCGGTCCCAAGTCAGGAACATCTGGCCTTTATTATTGTGTCTGTCTTTTATCTTGGCCTTTGCTCCTGTGTTTTTTGTCTTGGTTCAGTTATTTGTTTCGGAGTTTAGTATGATGGTCATATTCTTTGAACTAGTTCACATTTTTGTTTAAGGGTGAGCGTAAGCCCGCCGTCAGATGAGGGTTGATTTTCTTGCTATGACCCATTGGTGGCCTTGGGATGTTTTATATTCTTTGGTCGGGTTGTTGTTGTTTTTTTTACACATTCCCCGTTTCCATTCACAACTTTACAATATTGAAGTAATAAAATTAGTTTATTTCTTAGTCAGATTGCTTGTAGATTACTACATGTAATAATGTCATTTAAAGATTGGCGAAAGAGACATTCAAACTCATAAGTCAAAACTAAACTGACAACGCTATGACAAAAAAAGACCACCCCCCCCCCCCCCCCCCTCCCCGAATAAAACAGTATATAAAACATTGCATAGAAAACTAAAGACTAAACATTTCGAACTCTATAATAAACTGGGGGTGGGGGAATTTATGTGCTCTGGATAGGTAAACAGATCATGCATGTGGCACCCTGTAATTACAACCCCAGTGATAAGTTTTATTCAGTAGGTCTCATTCTAGGGAGAGAGGTCACGATTATGGTTACGACAATTTCGAACATCATTCGTCATCTGTGAAACAGATATTCCATAACGATCAACCGAATCGTGATGGTGTCCTTAAAATATTTCGAATGGATGATTCCATCTTCATCACTGGCTACTTCTGGTTTATTACCTTCTTTGTGAGCAGAAACATTCTATCGTGGAAATAATGATAGGAGATGCAAGCCCTGGAATATTGTATCACTTAGAAGATGTGTACCCCATATACAGGCGCTGCAGCAATGTTGCTACAAACAAATGAAAAGTTCACAATTGAGACGCATAAATCACCTTATTATCCAAAAACGTTGTTCTCAACCGACCGCCATTGTCAACATTGACAAATCATGATATGAGGCCGACTCAACTGTATATGATGGATCCTTATTTCAAATGCTCCTTTTCCGCTCACCATAAACATTTGACAAAGAAACGAATATTACGATCTCAAAAATTGAAACAAACATCAAGTTCGGGATTTAACAGGTAATAAAAATGTTATTAAAACTTATAGAAATCATCTTACGAGAAGATTCTTTATCAAACGATAGATAGTGCTCAGCATAATTTATTTAACATTTGTGTCTTTTTTTAATTAACGAAAATTGCAACTCGAAACACATTGCCTACTAATGTACTAAGATATAAAACGTAAACGCACAATGACTTTAATTGAAACTAAATGCACGTCTACTTTGAACTAAAACACTAGAATGTTCATCATATCTAAATCTATAACTCTATCTGTTTCAGACAGTATATCTTATTATATACCTATATGGAGTTATTTTCTTTCAGAACGATCGGCCAGTCTTTCGGAGAATCAACACGGACGATACCAAATGTCAATGAAATATGCTTCAAGGCATAAAATAATGACCTGTAAATTATAATTTACTTAAAACAATTTATTTGTTGATTAATATCGTGTGTTGTTATCAATTGAGAGTTTACTTTTTAATATTTCATCTTTGATAAGTTTACGGCAGAAACAATCCTTCCTCCGTTCATTAGACTGAAATACCAAATATTGTCGTTGATGCTTACTTTTTTACTTTCGAAACAAATAATGTGAAGTTTTGTTTATTTATCGCAATAAATGGACATCATGTGATCTCGATAAAGAACAAAATGAGTAAAATATAAATTGAAATGGAAACAAAATGGAATCAATTCTTTACATAATCCTAATAAGACTTCTTCATCTCATACGTATACAAAACAAAAATCGAATATCAAAAACAGTGAACAGTGAAGGAAAACTCAAATCGGAAAGTACTTAAATAGCATAATCAAAAGCTAAAACTTACAAAGCTAAAAGAAAACAACTGTTATATTCCTGACTTGGTACATGCGTTTCCTTGTGTAGAAAAAAAATTGGTACTCTTGATAGAATTATAAAAAGACTATCACATATATTACCAAAACATAACAAAATTCTAATAGGTCTGTCGCATCTGATTCCAATGGCGTATTTAATAAAAGTATGTCGAATTCGATACCAATAGCATTTTAACCGAATTTCTGTCGCATTTGATATTAATGCCATTTTAACAGAATTGTGATAAGATTGATTGATTGATTGTTGGTTGCTTAATGTCCAGTGGCAAATATTTCATGCATATTCAGGACGATATTGTGATAAGACTGTCACATCTTAAACTAACGATATTCTTAACATCATTATGATAAGACATTGAAATCTAATACCAATAGTCTTATAAACATATCCTGTCAAATCTAATACCAATGATATTCCAAACATAATTCTGATAAGACTGTTGCATCTAACACAAACGGTGCTCTAAACAGAATTCTGATAAGACTCGCATCTAATGTCAATTGCGCCCTAGTAGATTTTTAATACGACTATCTGATCACATCTAAAACCGATGGAACTTTTGTTATATCTTTAAAAATCAATGGTTTTAAACTCAGGTTATTCACCGAATAAAAGTATGATGTTTGTGAATAGCGTCTAGTCTTTACAGAATTCTCAGAAGAGTTTCATATCCTACAGATGTAATATCACCAAATCGTAGCACGTCACATCCGGTTGCATACGAAAAACGGTCGGAAAAAATAATACCTTGAATTTGACAGTTGTAAGAAATTGATCTTGAGTAAAAGGTTTCTGGGTCATAAACATATATATTGGGTGTTTCAAAGCACCACTATTTTTTATTTGGTGTTTCTAGAGAATATTTTGGAAACTTGAGGTTACATGGTTACTAAAGCTTGTACACAGGTAATAATTTGATTGGTTAACTTCCAGTGATGGTAATTTTCTCATATGCAATGAAATGTTTTGTGAAATTTTGTCTATAGTACTGGACAGGATAAAATTTTACTCACAATTCTGCACATTTTTTTTTTATTAGGGATAAGGGACGTATAAATACCCTGCAACGTTCGGGCTTTTCTGCTTTGTATCGATTTAGTCAGTTGAGAGTGCCATTTTCAACTGATTTTTATAGTTTGTATTTATGTTTTGATATATCTTTTTTACCAACGTGCTTTGTCTCTACATAGCCTACATGCCATTTTATTTTTCTTTGTTAAGTTAGTAATTTGTTTTAATAGTGATAAAGATTATAACATAATGTTGACTGCTGTACCCAAATCGTTGTCAATATAATGGATTTTGATGCCACTGTCACAAACATTTTGCTAGCTATAAAACCAGGTTAACACACCATATTCCGATGTGGTTCATAAGTGTTTCTCGTTTCTGGTTATTTATATAGACTGGGCTATCGGTTTTCCTGTTTGAATTGTTTTTGACTTGTCATTTTGGGTCCTTTTATAGCTTGCTGTTCGGTATGAGCATAACACCGTGTTGAAGGCCGAACTTTTGCCCACGATTGTTTTACTTTTTATACATTGTGACTTGTATGGAGAGTTGTCTCTTGTCACTCACACTGAAATGTCTTATTTGTATGTTCTTAAGTAAACCGAACATAAGGTATTTAGTCAATAAAATTCAACACATGTATACCAAAGAA